AAAATGAGGAGAGATCGAAACTGAATAAAGGTGCGATCTGTTTATGAGTGAAAGCACTTAATATATTTTTTCAGGAGCTTTTTTCTTAAAGATGCTTTAAACAGATATGAATGTCTGTCGAACATTGATTGTTGAATTAGGATGATATCAATACCTATTATGTACCACAATCTATAATGTTCTCCGTTTCTCAACATGAGTGAAGCAGAAACTTAATGCCAAATAAATTCTATCCTGGTCACTTCTTAAATACTGTCTAAATATATATTTATTCCATGTTTGTGTAATGTGCTCATTATACCAACCGATTTCTTGACATAGATAAGTTCACAATAAAATTTAATTAGCCGTCATGGAATACGTTGATTTATTTATCGTCAAATCACTTTCTTTTTCATTCGTAAATTGAATAATACAGCTTAACGAAAATAATTACATATTATGGTTTAAAACGTATACATCTATACATTACTTTGCTATAAAGTCAATTACAAACTGGTGTACATTAAACCGTAAGTCATACGGATTTACACGTGTACACCATCGATTTAATAGGTACTTTAAATAAAATGCCTTGACAACACAACTTTATTGATTAATGAACAGTTTTTAGTTATGGTGTTTTAAGATCTTATGCATATGAAACTTGATGAAACTGAGTTTAAAAGACTAGCTAAGATTGATCAATAACATTCTCTCTTAATAATTTGTGTTCATTAAAAGTTATTCAAATAATTTCTTAACAATTTATCAATAAAACTGCTTTATCCATGAGTAAACCACTTTATTTGGCAATGCTCCAGATAACACAAAGATTTGAAATGTAGGTGCATTTGTTTACTTAAGCACTGGGACAATTCGTCTATAAATTGTATTCTCTCAATCATTTGATAAACCGAAATACAAGTAATTTCAAACCGCTTTTCCAAAACTAAATACACACTAGTGACTAGCTTCAGGATGTTATTCCTGAAATCATATTGGGTAAGTCGTGACCAATAGGATTCTGTCACTATCAGATGTGAGACAGATATGCAGACAATGGATGAAGGGTTTCTCTAGTTTATTGATTGGTTGATTACAAATAGACGTCAAGATCTTTAGGTACCAGATCAATGATCTGTAGGTTAAGGGTTCGCACGATAGACCAAAGGTGCTGGATTCGTTTTTCGCATTCAGAGTCATGCATGCGTACTTTTGAGAAATCATATACTAGGACGAAACGGCTGTCTAGTTCATCCAGGTTCTCAGCTATAGTTTAGCTAAGATCAGTCTGTTACATCAACTGTGTAAATCATGATCCTGAAAAAGGGAATTTTCCTGTTTAAAGATAATCTGATTCTCTCCAAAAAGAACACAAATGACAATTAACCACTATCGAATTACTTTAAACTGAAGTGTAAAATCTTCCAAATATGGTTGATTTAATAATTATTATTGAGATCATGAACCGATTGATGTTAGACCATCATTGAAAACCTGGAAGCACTGGACGGCCGTTTCGTCCTATTGTAGGACTCCTCAGCAGTTCGCATCGACGATCCCGCTCGCGGAAACAGTGAAGTTAATCCGTGTCGGGTAGAAACAGGTGTCTACCACAGTACAGTGGAAGATGGTTGCGCAACTTCGTGAGACTGAAGGTCTTGGGTTCGAGTCCCGTGAGCAGGATCGTTGATGCGAACTGCTGAGGAGTCCTACAATAGAAAGGAAGGGCCATCCAGTGCTTCCAGGTTTTCAGTGGTGATCTAACATCAATCGGTTCATGATCTCAATCAAAATCGTAACAATCTCCATAACCCCTAAACTGTTAATAATTATTAATTTGTAAACAGATTTAGTTGTCACTTTAGTGAGACAAATATATTTTATTCATTTCATTTTTCTTTTACAAAGAATCGATTAAACTCAATATCGGTGTTTTTTATCAATCTTTTTCTCTTATGTTATGTCATAATGTAAGCTTAACAAAACATTGTGATTCACATTTATACATTATCCATTTGTGTATGACATACATGTAATCATCACACACTAATTGTATTTTAAACAGCATGAGATTGAATAACCAGAAATTTCACTACTTTCACACCAATACTTACTAAAAACAAATGTTGAATTGTGTCGATTTCCATTCATGTTATCATTGTGTATGCGGTTTTTAATTTATTTTTACTAATAACGATTGGCGTAGTAGTGTGCATCATAATGATAACTGTGAATTTGAAGTAATATAACGAAGTGGAACTAATCTCAGTAAGTCTAGGCCTTCAACAAGACAATCAAGAACTCGAGTTTGGTGTATTGTATTGTATCATTATGATAGGTTTAAACACAACATAAAATATTTAACTGTACAGTAAGTGTATTGGTTATTCACCACAATAGCAATATGTTCGTTTAAATTGTTCTACTTGGTTACTATGTAGTGGAAGGGTTATTTTTTCATCACAAATAAAAAACCCGAGAATCCGTCTTGATTCGATACAAAATCGAAGCGTAGTGATTCACTTACAACTAGTCAAATCACTCTCACTTCGGCTTATGAATCTTGAGATTAGATGGTGGTTGAAGGTAGTCGACAGGAAACCCTGGACCCGGGTTTCGTGCTACTTGGCACTCGCCAGCAAGCTGTACCTGTAATCTTGGAGGAACTGATGCTCCCTGGTGGATTCGATCTCGTGTCACCTAGCTTCACAGTCAGAGACGTTACCACTGAGCTATCCGAGCCGCGACCGACCTCCTGTAGGACTGAGATGTAATCACAATTGATTGATCACTGGGTGGCGATCAATGTCATGCGTGTCTAGTCCTTATTAGTGCAGATCGAATGCTATCGACCATGTTACAATGTGTCCACCAGTTTAGGTGACTCGACATTGCGGGCACTATATATTGAGATTAGTTTGTTGGAGGTAGACGACATCTCAGTCCTACAGGAGGTCGGTCGCGGCTCGGGTAGCTCAGTGGTCACATCTCTGACTGTGAAGCTGGGTGATACGAGATTGAATCCGCCAGAGAGCACCAGTTCCCTCAAGATTACAGGTACACCTTGCTGACGAGTGCCAAGTAGCACGGAACCCGGGTCCAGGGTTTCCTGTCAACTACCTCCAACCACCATCTAATCTCAATATATAGTGCCCACAATGTCAAGTCACCTAGACTGTTGGCCGCATTGCATCACGGTCGATAGCATTCGATCTGCACTAATAAGGACTAGAGACTCATGACATTGATCGCCACCCAGTGATCAGTCGATTGTGCTTATGAATCTTGTCAATATTCGATTTCGGTCCTCTGTGTCACTAATAATCTTCTGGTTAGGTATCTTACTAGAGATTGTACTAAACAGTATACAACTGTACACAGTTGTATTCACAATATCAGTCTTAGTGGCAAACAAATCTCTCCCTCGTATACACTCTCCAATTTAAACATTTTTAATACGTTCGTTTAATAAAAATGCGATGGAATTTCATATTTAATTTCTGTGTTATTGTACTTCACTCAGTTTAAAATGTAAAGCTTATGAATATATTGGTGTAGTTGGACCTGTGAATTACTGAAATATAATAATAATGATATTATCACTATTATTATTATTTTAACATTGATACAAGGAGGGATCACAATAAATATGCGTTTATAAAGTAGTTATCATTTAATTTGTGTTTGATGCGGGATGCTGCTCGGGTGCCCGAACCGAGACAGATGATTTTCTTAGGAAACTACTTTCCAAACCTTTGCCTCTGAGATCAAATCCACTAGGCAGGGTAGCAACGTTCGAATATACGATCCCGTGGTAGCAAGTGACCAAGAACAGGTTCATACGACATTTGTTCCTTCAGAATCCTGCAGTCCATGTTCACCATTAGTTTGGAATCAGATTTTTCCAACTTCTGTAGACGGATCCTCCGAACCCACTGACCTGCTATAGGTACTGGACATTCGCTTCTCGTCCTTTAAATTTTGTAAGCGAAACTGTCTTGAGAAGGAAGTATTAATTAAAATGAAGTGATTTCGATGGTAAATCCAAAAACCAACTACCATTAAAAATCAGGAATGATGGAAGAAATATTCATTTATTTCAAGAATACATCATCATTATTTTGCATAAAACCTATTTATAAGAACAACGAAATCGATAAAACTGAAGAGTTTATAATGCTTTTCAGTTTCTTATCTGAAATTTATACATGAAGTCATCTACGCAAGATAATTTCTGATAAATCAACTGAATAGAATAAGACTAGTCAATGTGACGATAGAAATCTTGTGCATATTCCGTAAGCTAATCATCAGTCATATAATGTTTAAGCAATGTAACCTATGGTATTTCCGAGTCATTCGAAGATAACTTTTATAAATTGATATGGGTAACAAATTTTCAGAAAATCATAATCGAGATCCGTCAACTTCAATTTAGTGAATACTATTCTGTTTTCAGTAGTATATTAAATAATATTGGTTTTGCAAAAAATAACTAATTTTAAACAAATCATATATACTGAATCGAAAATTTAGTAAATCTTCACTATATGATTTATAACTGTACAGTTAGATGTAAATAAAAATAATCCTTTTTGTTAAAATATAATTATCATAGTATAAAAGCACTTTTATATACGATAAAAATGTAGAATGACTCTTTCGTTACCGGAGTTGCGTCTAGTGTATGGACATATTTGTACTTATTTTTATCGTTGCTAGATTTACATTTAATCAGGTCACATAGATGTTTCAGGAAAATGTTTTTGTGTATTTGAGAGTTGGTAAAGGATTAAAATCGACTGATCACTAAAAAATGTTCCCGCCTTACGACCGTAAAAGGAATCAACATCGTTATCTTAAGGCATCTTAGCCAACACAATAAATAAATCTAAGTCACAGAGCCGAAATCTAATGAGTCGTAGTTTATTCTGTCTTGTCAATCATATTTTGATTTAATTCCATAAAATGCTCTCATGTATTAATTATTGTTTCTTTTCCCGTCTACCTTTCAGATATCAGTTCTTCTTACAAATACGTAAAGATATTTTAGATGGCCGTCTTCCTGTTCCCAAATCAATCGCCACTCAGCTAGCTGGGTTAGCCTTGCAATGTAAGTAATTTTTAAATTTATTACTGATTTCATCACCGATACATTTAACAGCGAGATACGTTTTGTTTTATATATTGTGAGAATAGTTGATGAAAGATATTTGTATCTGTGCTGTCATATCCACAGCGCTTATTCACTTACACTCACATAAATATACAGCTGATGATTTTCTATCCTTTGGCAGTTTAATGGTCGAACATTAATTGTTAAAGATATATTCAGTCGAGTTATTTAGATTGATGTGAGTTTCAATATCAGGATCCAGGAAGTATATCATCACAAAACAATCGATAATTGATCAAAACTAATAGATTACAACTAACCACTTCACGTTCACCTGTTTTCTCATAACAAATGCATGTTTTTTTATAGTTATTCAGCGACACAAGGATTTTTTTCTTTTGGTAAAATCTCATATTCATATTTTTACTGAACAGTTTGTACGTGATTTTAATACAGAGTGAATAATCAATGAGAAGTAGTGTTTTATTGAATATTTACACTGTATTTAACTTGCTATTACGTTAACAAAGGAAGATTTTCCATTGTAAAATGAAAATGACTTTTACTTTGAAGTGCTTTTCGTAAAAGTTCAAAGATAATTCTTTTTCGATAAATCAATATTTTGTTTAGAAAAACTAATCACAATCTAATATCATTGAATATTCGCTTTGATCTATCTCAAGGCTCTTCTTAACAGGTCTCACTTCTAATCTTTTTTTAGAATTGTTTTTATGGTATATTTTTATGTGTAGTTCATTCCAAGTTATTTAAAAACAATTCTATATGTTCAAAACAAAATTGTTTTAATCGACAAATTCACTTAGAGCTTACTCTAAAGTGTTTTAATTAAAGTGTAATATTAGTAAGTGAATTCAACAGAGATTTCCGAATGAGTTTGAATGTTTTTTCAAACATTCAAGTTAGTGAATAAGTTGGTTTGTAATTAAGTTAACATGAAGACAGAGAATACAGAATTCATATTGTTTTCAGAATTGAGCGCTTTGATTTTATTTGATTGTGATGTAACTTGATGATTCTAATTAAAATCTTGTGCACTTAATTTCGATTTTGACTTGAGTAAGTTGACTACACTTATTTTGGAAGGCTTATCAATCCTAGTGGTTGATATCTGACTAAATTTCAGTACTGATTTAGAAGGTTAGGTTGAATTTTTTCAACTAATGTCACTTGTGGTGTGGATAAGATATCCATCTCCCAACTAAAGGGCATGTTTACTCCATAGAATTCCATTTGATACTACTTTATGTCTGTAAAACATGGGCTTTTAAAAGAGATGACTTGATTAGGCTGCAGGTGTTTGATAATTGGTGTCTTCGAAACATTTCTCGCGTCTTGTGGATCGATCGAGTGATAAATGTTCAGGCTGGGCATAGGATAATTTATGAAAATGGCAAATCTGTTAGAGAAGTAGTCAATATTCATCGACTGAGGTAATTAGGACATGTTTTATGTACGTTTAATGAATACCTAACAGGTTGGGTGATGTTTACCGATATAGGAGTAGGTTCCAAGAAAAGTGGGATTGGCCAAATCAATTCATGATATTAGTCAATGAAGTAAATAACTGTTGGTTCGTGCCATGTTGATAAATGATACTACCTGGTTAGGAAATACTCGATAATCTTGATCAGTTGCTGGAGACTTTAAGGGATATGGCCCAGCCATCGGACACTTGTAAAGATGCAGTCATTCTTTATCTTCCTCTCGATTTCTAATTCCAGTATTCCTTGATGCACAATTTTCCACTGTCTTTTCACATACTCTCAATTTTCAGTTTTTCTCAATATCTTTCCTGCTCTATCATATTGATTACCTAATTATTAGCTTTTTTGAGTTTGTTTCGTTGTGTAAATCTGATATGGAAACTTGGGATAACATCTATGTACCAGGATCTAAGCTGATTATTAATAGGTGAATACAAACATTTGGTAATCCTTTAAATAAACGAAAATATATGAGTGGTAACTGAGTCAATATTTCACTTCATTTGATAAGATAAACAAAATTTGATTGCTAATGAGGATTAGACAGCATGACACTGACTATTACTAAGCGATCATTTAGTGCAGATGGAAATTAGTATCCCTCTGAATAGCCAATAGCAATATCTCTGAATATAACATTAGATGACTTGAATCTATACCAAACAAAGAACACCAGTTCTCTAAAGACTAAATATGCTTACTGCTAACGAATTACGACTGACAGTTACTCTAGTTCCAGAGCTTCATACTCGTTATTAAAAAAAGTCAAAATATTGGTTCACTAGAAGTTATCTTTGTATTACTGACTTAAACCAAAGTTATCGTACGTACAACATTCTACATACTAAACAATTGATGAATCGGGACGTTTATAGATATATTGATAGTAAGATATTAAATTTTGCATATGTTTTGTTGCCAAAACTATTTTTCATTTTTAACAATAACTTTTTTTAATCTTACTGCCTACAGCTGAATTAGGTGACTACACTGCTGAAGAATGTCGACCGGGTTATGTGAACCAATTCCGTTTTGTACAAAACCAAAATGCAGACTTTGAAGCACAAGCATCTGAATGGCATCGTAAATCAAGGTAAAACAGTTAGAGGTCATATATATATATATATATATATATATATATATATATATATATATATATATATATATATATATATATATATATATATATATATATATATATATATATATATATATAATTTGGGCGTTGGTTCCATTTTAAGTGTAGTAAAAAGATCAATAATACTTTAAAAACTGAATACACCCATTAAGGAAACCAAATAATATTTAACCTGATAATACTCTTCTTTTGTTTAAGATATTACGTCCCCTTTGATAAAGTTTTGATTGGTTTCTTCGTTTTTCATCCGCATGTTAAGTTCGCCTTCAGTCTACAAGACCTCTGTAAAATAATTTTTCACGTTTACTCCAATTAAAGGTAACAATTTAAAAGAATTTTCACTAGTGATTGATAATAGTCAAGCAGCTATTGAAAATCTTATCTTTGAGAACAACGTTGATCCCATTTCCTAGAAATCTTCGAAAATAAACCGTTTTAAAATTATCGAAAACTTTGAATTAATTTGTTTAAATAGCTTGATTTATACATCTTTATATTTATTTCATTGCAAATTCCGGTTGACTATTATTGTGATGAGATTTAACTGTTTATGTCGTATTTACTGTTGCTATAACCGAACGTTTATGTTTCACCCTAGTAGTTTGTATTGACTATAATGATTTTGAGTAAATCATTATACTCTAGGAAACACTATCAGAATAGTAATTCCATGTTCTTTAAAGTTGAGTTACTAACGATTCAAGATCCCACTAGAACAATCAACTTTAGTTAAGTACTTCGAACCTATCGGGTATTTTCAGTGTTCACTTTTACTTACTTACTTACTCCTAACACCCCATTTGGAGGAGCATAGACCTCCTTCCGAGGCTCTTCATCGAACTCTGTCACAAGCAATCCTTTCCAGTTGTTTCCAAATATTTTTCATTTCTTTGATGCTTGCTTCCAATTCTCGACGAAATATGTTCCATGGCTTCCTCCTTTCCTTTTCTCTTCAGGATTACAATTTAGGGATTACCTCGGGATGCGTTCTGATGATTTTCGCAATGTATAACCTATTCACCTCCAGAGTAATTTCTTAATTTCCTCTTCAACTAAAAGTTGGTTTGTACTTTCCCATAGTAGGCTGTTTCTGATGGTATCCGGTCTACGGACATTGAGTATCTTGCGTAGACAGTTGTTTATAAATACTTGTTATCGTTTGATGATGGTTATAGTAGTTCTCCAAGTCTCAGCTCCCTACATCCACTTTTAAATTGTTCTAAATATTAACAATATTCGTCAGTGATTTTCAGCTGTTATTTACTCAAATTGGAACCTTTGTTCATTGCTTAGATTTGTTGGATTCAAAACCCAGTTATTTTACAAAATACTAAATGACGGTTAAAATTATTAATTGGAAAGTTTGTTTCATGGTAATATTTACTAAATGTTAATAAGAAATTCTGGTTAGATATAGACTAGTATTTTCTGAAACGAAGTAAATAAACATAACAACTCATAACTGATTTTCTTCTTAAATGAAGTGTAGTAATTCGAATCACTTACTGAATCCTTCATTGTCTCGTTGATTCAATTTAACTACGTCACCTTAAGACAATAAAGAACTGTTTAATTAATTATCAGTGGTTTCTTAACAACCTTTCGAGAATTTTTTTAGTGTTTATATTAAGGCCAAATATGTAGTTATTTCAATTATTGATTCGTAAGATGAGATATCATTTTAGCATTTTCGTTCCTTATTGTTTCTATTTAAATAAATGTGAATTTTACTGATCATACTGTGATGGCTAAATACTTTCAGTGATTACTCTAAGGATCGTCGAGGTATTTATTGTCTATCCTACTGTAGTACCATAATTATTTTGTATAGATAAAATATAAATGAGCTAATGAAGTCAGGGATTTATCTCTATGGGAAACACATCAAGCTCATTGTTTAATAACTTGGAATGTCTTAGTAATTGGATGTCGTAAATTCACATCAGCTGAATAAACATAGCTAATTTGTTCTACTTTTGAAACCCTCAACATTAGACAAACGTTGCCATCCCTTCACAAAAGATGAAACCCATGTCCTCTAGGTTTTGGTAGGAGTATGAACGTTTTTGATTTACCAACGGCATGTCTTGAACTGCTCCTCAATCTGTTCTTTTCAATTACTACCACAGTTGGTAAATATATGGTTTGTGACCTGCAGGCATGTATTCTTAAAACCCACCTAAGCTATTGAAGTCTGTGTTTATTGAAAACAACACAGGCTTATTACCCTTACTTTGCTAAAAAATACTATTTTGAACCTGCACATTACTTACATAGTGTAACCATTGGGTATGAACACACTTATGGGAATAACGATAATCGAATATAGCGAATTACTGAACATTTCTCAGTCTAAAAGACTAAAATTTTCAAATATATGGTAGGGCTGTTCACATCGAAGCTAAGTACAATCAATGCTTTAAAGCCGACTAAATTTGAGCACGATATCAAAGATAACCCACATTAGTGTAACTCACTCAAGCTTCTACTAAACATAGATTGATTTCATCTGTCATACTTTCAACTTCAGTGTTCCATATTAACCATAACCAAATTATCGAAGTTCCCCCTTTAGTTAAACAGTAAAATCTACATTATTATAACTAAGTCTTTCCACTAACTTTCTTAGTAATAAAAATCCTTTATAAAACATATCGAATCACATGAACTATATTATGATCACTAGAAGATGTATTAGTAGTAAAATACTAAACTACTTAACTTTTTTTCTTTGAATTTTTATGAAGATTATGGTAAATTTTCACTAAATTTTGAAAACGATTCTGTATATTTTACTTAGAACAATTCATATAATTGATTTATTCTATCAGAATACTACATTCAAAATAAAGTGTGATCATGAGATCATCTGAGATTATTGTTGTATGTATATGTATTGATGAAACCTCTGAAACATAAATACCTATACATCACACATCATAGATACAATTGTACATATGACCATTTTAATTGAATTAGTTTCATAATAATTCTACTCTAAACTCATATATCTATATATTTATACATATGCTGCGTTATAATGGTGAATTTATCTACAATACAAAAGCTTTCTTGTTTGTTATGGATTGTCATCATCTGTAGAATTATGAAAACTAGAGTCAATTGGACACTTGTTTCGTTCTAGTATGGTACCTAGTTGTCCAATGTTTCCTGGTTTCACTGATATCACTTGTAAGATTAACCTTTGACATAAACTACTTTCAATCAAAACTATGTTTGTATTTGTATTAGTTTATTTTGATATCACCCTTATGAATAGTATATTATGTTACCTTCTTTTAGTTTGTAAGCATATGTTTACTTTTAAGTAAATTCAATTATCATTAGCAACAATAAAATAAATGATAATAACAGACATTATGCACACCCATAAATAAAATGTTTACTTCCAATAACATGAACCAGATAGATAGCTTTGGGCGTCTTCCTTATATCTGATGTCTGTTCACCATATGAACCATAGTAAATATTTATTATTTACTCAACATTTTGAAAGTTATTTTGCTTTCATTGTTAACAATGATGCTATGAGTAGTATTAATAGTAGTATGAGTGAAAATAATCGATAACCTGATATATTTTTACTCTTATTTTTCGAGGATTTCTTCTTTTTTTCATTGTATGTTTATATTTTGTTTTTGTGAGGTGAATAAGTTTTATTGTTGTTTAATTTGTTTTAATATAGAATGATTTCAAAATTACTGAATTTAGTTTTCTAAGGTCAACTAATATCATAAAATTCATATCATATATACATATTGATTGATTAGATAAATAGAGGTGACATTTGGATACAAAGAAATGTGTTACATAAGTATTCTGATATTTTGTGAATCATTGAAGTTCAAATTGGATGTCATATAAATTAATTTCACAGATTGAAATCATGAGTCAGTTGAAGCTAGACCACCATTGAAAACCTGGAAGCACTGGACGGCCGTTTCATCCTAGTATGGGTTTTCAATGGTGGTCTAGCTTCAACTGACTCATGATTTCAATCTGTGAAATTTCTAAAATCTCCACAAAACCCATTCTGATATAAATTAATACAAAATTCTATAACCAACATTTCAATGCAAAAAAAAACGATTCAGCTGAATTTGTAATTTGCAAATGAAATGAGGTTTATCACGCTTCCTTAATGTTGAATTAACTAATAATGTTAAACATAATCATTATTATCGTTTATCCACTGATTTCAACTGTAACTCTAGAAAAATCGATTGGAGATGATAAAGTTAATTAATAAAACGCAAAAAGGTTCTCATGTTAAAATAGTATAAATATCGAAATGTATTATCTATAACGAATAGTAGTCATATATTTACCTCATGATGTATACAACAAAACTTCACTAGTTACGGTTTCTCACCAGAACTATTTACTACATTATTATGATTTTTGTTCTCATAGTTATGAGAAGGAATACCACTAAATGTTAACACTGATATGTTACAAATGAAATTCAGTAAATGCTTTAAGAAACTCGTCTTGTCCCTTAAATAGTACTTTGTATGTAAGACATATCGTTGTTTGTAGAGAAAATTTATTGGTTGTAGACTAGACTCCTAGGTTTGTAACGCCAAATAGTCTTACATTCCTTTCTATATTTGATTAATAAACAAACTAATTATCAGACATGTATAAATGAAATAGAATTTAACAGTAGATACTTAACTAAAAAAAATCAGATTTTGTCTCCGTTTATTTTTTTCCAGTTGCCAGATGTTAGATGATTCTTTCGTGAAGAGCGTGTGTTGTCTTCCAACAAATTATATCCCTTTTTTACGAAAAAAACAAACTAAATTATCATGTTGAAGTATTGTTAATTTGTCTCTCGCAGCTATACACTTTGTTGACATAATCTATTCTTATATATCAAAGTAATATGTTTATATAAGTGTCGAGTAGTAAAGCTGAAGTATACTGCCATATCAACTAAGAAAGAAAAACCGACTTCAAGATCACGGGGCACATATAACCTAAAATGGCATCTAATGTACCATATTAAACCAAGATGTTGATTATTATGTTCAAATTCATGTGCATACAAGACATAAGACTTACAAGAATAACAATGACTTGTGAATAATAGAATGAATTGATTATGAATGAGTTTAGAGGAATATAAGTTATCTCGTATAAAATTATATTTTGTTGAAATTTCAAATGATGTAAAGACAATATATTGTTTGTTAATACTTTGACTTTTCACTATAGTCCACACACATATTTTCTACTTTCCAAATAACTGACATGGGTCAAAATCTGAAGATCGTTTAACAGTAGACTTAAATCTCTATGGTCGTGTGTTCAACCAATTTATAACTGTATATGTTATGGGCGGCCAAACCAAAACGTGGCATCAGTGCTTGGAGTCACTAACTTCTTGTCTGAGCCATGTTGGTAGATACAGACTACTTGGCTGGGGTTCGCGTGACTATCGTAACCAATGGTCGGAGACTCCTGGTGACATGGCTCAGAATCGATCACAATGGTGTTGGTACTATATCCTGATTGCAATCTTTCTTTTATATATTACCACCTCTGAATCAACTACTTTTATGAATCCGGTGTCCATCTTGTTGTGTTAATGAGGTATGGCAACTTGGACCGATGCATATATGTGCCTGATCCTACGTTGTAGCTGACTGACTGACTTATAACTGTACATGATATTTATCTTAAACATTCATTGGCGTTTTACATTTGTAAATGTTTGAAAGAATGAACAATATCGCTTTTTTTTTATTAGCTAATTCCAATTGGAGTTAATTAGATTGATATTAAGTTAGCTACTCAATTCAAATTCTGTTTATTTTCTAGTTAAACATTGACCATCACATAAATGAAATGTAATCACTATTTAAGTAGTCTATTCATGAATTGAAAAATGCATTCTTTCATTCATTTACTGAATCAAGCTAATGGCTTAAAATAGTTTATGTATTTTAAGTGAATAAGATATTAGCATACAGCATAAATGAAAACTTGACATCTATCTTCTCTTTAATTCAACTAGTTTGCCAGCATAATATATTTGGTGTTTTAAGAAATATAACTTAGTATAAACAGTACTGAATGGTGGTTAGCAGTAGAATATAGGACGCACGCATCATCCTTTTTAGTACTCGCCAGCTGAACATGCCTACACCCGGAATTTCAAGTACTCTACGGGACTCAATTGTAGTGTGGTTTGCTTCAGACCTCAGTTCGTTTTCCACTTAGCTGCCGGGTCCAAACAACCACGGGCTTGTGTAATGGGGTGAATTTTAATTCATTTGTATTGGTTTTTTGAATCTTCCCACCAATCTTTAAGACTGAAGTTGATCAGTCTCTTTTAACATATAGGCATCTTATTTGGATTGCATTTTTATTGGCACTAAGTCACAATCATGTCAGTCACCATCCAACTTTGCTTATAATGCTTGTGACCTAATGATAATGTCGAGGCAATTCGTACTGGATGCAGATATGCCAAAAGGAGAGATAAATTGCAGTCCTAAACATCAGTGAGGAGATCCAAACAATTCATATAAATAAATAACTCGATAAAATCTACAAAAATATTTTCTGGTTTCTGGGATTGGTGTTTAAGGTATTCGTCTTTTAATTGCGAAGCCACAGGTTTGAAGTTCACTCCACCTACTTTGGTTTAGGCTACAAAATAGTGTCATCAATGGCCACTCTTAAAGTAAAGCTCGAAGTCATGTACCTAGTACTTGGATTATGATTACAAATTTACCACTTGATAATAATTTTCAATCACAAGTTATCACCATATAAAACTGAATATATTACGAATGATATTATCTTTGTCTAGAAATCAAATCGCCACGATGAACATCACGTATTGACTTTAGTTAAACCGTGGTCTGAAGCATAAGTATTGGCTTCAAGACCTGACGATCCCAGGTTTGATCCTTCTTGCTGTTCTGAGTCTTCAGTGCTGAGAAGTTCCACACTAGGGTGAAATAGATGTCCAATCCTTTCTTGTTTCTAATCATTGTCTATTCAAAGTCAACCACTGATGTAGAACTCCAAATTCAGGAATATCCACAATATTTTGTATAGAAGCAATTGAGTCTAACAATTCACTAGTGAACTGGACGACATTTAGTATATAGACGATATACTATAGACATGGTTTTGGCTAGAATTATATCACGATTATTTTTTGAGCTTTCAAAAATACTGAAAATTTTATTATCCGTTGGGAAAAAACTATACATATTTCAACAGTCTGCTATACTTGATAGTCAAGCGTAATATAATGATCCCAACTTTTGTTGATTAGATAAATTGTTTAAAATTCAAATCATTGAACATACGTTTTTTAGATTGTTCCTTCTACTTCTTAGAATTACCTGTATTTCTATGGGTAGTCTAGTTAGATTTGTCCAAAATTAAACATTAGAAATATTATACAACAATTGTAAATTCACTTTTAAACATAAATTTTTAACATTCAACTTTTCACACATGGTATAATTAACTGAAATTGTAGTTGATTGTATGTATCTGTAATCATTACAATTTTATTCTATTTGAAATTACGTTATTTATGCTTGTTTCTAACAGTAGTTTTTAAAAAAAAATTAAAAAATTGTATAATTCCAATGTAATTTCCATCATCATGAACTTACATCAGTTGGATGATTATGAAATTATATCACAAATTGATTAGAGTTATTTATGTTGACCGCTAAGTCCCGCCTCATTGATTACACTGAGTAGTAGTACAAAAAAATCCTCGGTTTGAATCATATCCACAGTATCCGGGAGATTTAAACAATTGTTCAATGTCTTCTGTCCTTTTTTTATAGTCCTGGTGTTTACATCATTTTTAAATAATTTCACAACATTATTTTTACTGAAAATAATGTAGATATCATTATATGAGATCACTTGTCATACACATGTGCTTAAATTCATTAATAAATCAATATTGTAAAACCTTATAAAATACATTCTTCAAAAATAGAACCAAAAACTGATACTTGGTAAAAGATATCAGTTGTAGACAATATAAATTTTCTCAATTCAACAGAAATGTGAACTCCTGATGAACAGTGGAAATAGTTACAATGAAATATAGATAATTGTTTAACATATTTTCATTCTATTCAAAGCAGTAATTCATAATTTGTCTGGGTATTTGACCTAATTCAACAGTCATTTATCAAAAAGAAAATTTTCTCTACCATTTATTTTGTCTTACCTTACTGTTGTGACGTGCAGTATCCGAAATCTGATATTGATACATGGTATGCTGTGCGCTAATCCCCCAACTGACTAACTGAGCGAAAACACAAGCGTAAGTGATGACTTGTAATGGACTACCGAGTAAAATGTACAAATACAAATATATATATATATATATATATATATATATATATATATATATATATATATATATATATATATATATATATATATATATATATATATAGCTGACTGAAATTTGTTTAAGAAATACTGAAAACATGAGAATTCATAAATAACCAGTTTGTCTTAGTCTAATACTATTTATCAATTCGCACTCTATAATATTAAGACATTTCAAGTTCGAAAATCAGCTTTACATTATTAAGATTATGGAGTTGAGATTCAAATGATCAACATTGCTAACTCAAGCCAATATGTGATATAACACAATCACTACGCTGTAGATCACGGTTATACTTCTGATATTATCCATCAAATCTTTATCAAACCTAGCGCAGAACTAATTGCAACGCTCATTACTTTTCAAAGGTACTTTATTTGATATTTCATGTGCTCACTACTGACTAGCGTCAAGAAGTAATTGTATGAGTTCTAGTGAAAAGCCATGACCGGTGGGGCTAATCACTGTCGAGTGTGAGGCAGTTACTCACCGCGTGAAGCATTCGCGCTCGGTACCGAAGGCCTTTAGTTCGAATCACACGTGTGGGATCGTGGATGCTCACTACTGAGAAGTTCAATACTAGGACGGAACGGCCGTTCAATGGTGGTCTAACTTAGATTGATTTATGATCACAATCAAAACTCAAGAACTTTCACAACCCAATACTGGTGTTAATTATTCCATAACGAATACTATCTTCCATTTATTATTTAATAATCAGTTAATTTTCTTATTGCATTTAAATGAAATCTGAATTTACTTAGTTATATATACATGACAATCAATCTAAACAATTTTAATCTTTGTAATAGAGCTTTTCTTATAATTTCTATAACTTTTTTTCTCACTCAGTATTCTGCCTTTGTTTGTATTATGAATTTAATCAATATATTATTAACGATTGTTTGTATTTATGTCCTCTGATTATCATAAACTCACATATGTGTATACACTTATAAAATATGACTGAATGTATTTTGTAACCACAGTTATTATTCTTTTTATATAATTGGAGTTTGCCAAATTATTGATATTTTTTTTCTTCATATTTTTATAAGTTGACTAAAAGTGGCATTTGATAGTTAGGGACAAATTGAATATATATCTTGGATGTTTAGATAAAAGCAATTGTTTATGCCAAATCTTATATTTACTCATTCTATTTATCGTCATGGTTTTGTCTTTGTAATTTGTTTTCTAAACAGTACCCTCTTACCTGCAGCTGCTGAATTAGAATACCTTAATGTGGTCCGTTATCTAGATCATTATGGAGTTAAAAGTCATGTGGTTAAAGTGAGTTCATTCAGTTTACATTTACTTATGACATCTTTATTACTGTACATTATGCGTAAATGCTTAGTTAAATTAGTTATGTCTTATGAATTATTTACACTCAACAATGTAAATAATGGTCTCGTGAAATTTTTATTTCTAACCCAGAAATATTCATAAGTTTGCAATCGTTATGAGTTGAAGGTTTTACATAAAAATTATGAATGGTTTGTACAGAACCATATGTTGATGAGGAAATGTGTAAATGCTGTATTAACAAATGACTTGTTCTTCAGCTAGTATTTCAACATCACCAAAAAATTACTATAAGCATCTATTGAGATTATTACCGGAGTGCTTCAAGATATATTCCTCCTATTGTTAGCAGTGATACTTTATCATCACTAAAAGGAATTTGTAATGGTAGGCATCTTACGATCATATTTCTTCATTTCATTTCAATAATCTCTAAGATATGCCTAAACCGAACGTTATTCTACAAAAAAACTAAAATAATGAGTGAACATTTTTATTACCTTAAAAGTACACTCTATATGCTTATCTATTGCTTAATGATTAGTAATCGTATTTACTCAAATACAGTCAGATTGAGCAAGTGTCTTCAATCCGTGAAGGTATTAGTAGTTATCTTGTCGTAATTTTAGAGAAATTTTTGTTTGAAGACATTACGTTTGTTTAAATACTGTCAACTTCGATGGACAGTGTTCTGCGGTGTAAGAATCGTCTGGAAGAAAGCCATGAGCACCTCACTCAAGACATGGCACTAGTCCATAATTTCAACGACAGTTCGAATGAGCCATGTAAATAGGCGTATACTGCATGGTTAGGGTCTTTATGATCATGATAACCAATGATTAAAGACTTTAAGTAAAATGGCTTAAATCTTTTGTAATGGTACAGGTACTTTCTTTGAGTCCTGGAATCTCTTCATACTCTTTTTCTGTGCCTTTTTTGCAACTAATTCTAATACTCTGGGTTTTATCTTGATAATTTGATCTGGCTCTGCTAATGTGGTAAGGTAACTTGGACCGATGTACATATTTGTCAGATTCTACGTTCCACATCACTGACTAAAGGAAATACAATTTGTCTATTCGTTCTAAACTGTGATGTGTTACATTTCATGAAGAACTGAACAGAAATCTTACATGAGTGATTACGAAGTATAATCCATCATCCTATAACATTCTGTATATAATCTATAAGTTGTTGAAACGTTCATTCCTGTTTTACAAAAAGAAAGTTTAGGGCATTAATTCTTTCTTTGTTTATTCATCAGTATAAATGATCATCCTGTATGAAATTTTGCTCTCACATTTAACTCCATTGCTTCCAATCATACATTTTAGGAATGTGAATTTTACTCTTTAAAAACTCTGTTTATTAGAATGTAGACTATGTTTGATTTTGTCTATTTTTAATAGTAAATATATGTTTTCAGTTTCACTAATGGCCTGTCATTATGAACTTTGAAAGTAGTCAGAATTGAGCTGATCTCATAACCTTTTTTTTAATTCTACTTACATATGTTCTATGACTCATGACTTGTAACTCATAATTGTGATATTAACATAGACACTGTTTTGTTTGAACTAATAACTAATAAGACAGTTTTGTTTTATTTATTTCAACATCTGTCCAACATATGTCAATTATAAATACGGGAAATAGCCATAACTGAAAAGAGAACCCTTTGCTGTACCGCTCTTGTTATATGTCAGTCAACTATTCATAAATAATACAGAATGGGGTAAAAGTGTATATTAGCCTACGATTCCACGGTCTTTGCCAAAATAGCCATATTCCTTTATGATCATATGCTTAGTTAGGCTTCATATCTTGCCGTTCGGAAAATATCATATATTTTTAAAATGATTCTTGGTTTTAAGTGATCTTACAAAACCAACATGGTGTCAACATCTGAACAAGTGACTAATAATGTGGAACACTTGAGCATGACTGATTAAATCAACTTACTAAACATTAGTTTTCATCTTGCATAATCTCATCATAACGGTACAAGTGAATAAAAGTACGTGAGGTGGCTTAGTGGATAGTTTGTTTACTTAACCAATCCCTTGAAAATTCTGATAAGGTTACAGGATAAGAGTTGACGAGCTGTTCAACTTTTCACGACCGTCAAAGATGATGCAAGAAAATATGTTTGCAAAAAGGATTCTCAACAGGAAATAAGGGATTAATAATAAATTACTGCTTTTATTTAGTATATATGTTTTACGAGATGTGATTAACTTCAAGTCTATGATTTATTTCAAAGTCTAAACATTAATAGTATTGAATTTCGTTATAAATGGAAACTTTTATTAAAACTTAGTCTGTCCCTGATATACCTGTATTTGTACATGTGTACACTTTTAGTGATTAACACCAAATGACGTATTTATTGAGTAAAACTACCATTAACATTTAGATTTGTAAAACATTCACCATCATTTGGTTGATCGGTTGTCAAAATTTGAAACAGCAAGCGAATCACAAACCATGATCAAAATCTGCTTTTTATTCAAAAAAACTAATATCCTGCCTAACGCCTAATGATATTGTTGATTTAGGTGATAAGATCAGACTACTTTAATTTAAAAATATTCCTACATACGGACTAGTATGAGCTGATGAATAATTGAAAAGAAATAAATATTAAACATTTACTTAATCGTTATCTAGGTCTCCCAGTTGATGGTTTGGGTTAGGAACTAAATTTAGAGTTCTCATCATTTTATGACATCAGCTAATATGCCAAAACGCTATTAAACCAAATGGTTGAATGAATTTCGCGCCAAAATTCAAGACCTGTTATTTTACATCTGATTAGTTCGTCCACATATTATAGTCTCGCCACTGTCACTACATAATAAAGTTGGTTTTTGCGACTAATATTACTGATCATGTAAATTATAAACACTCTTGTGGTGAAATTTTCATTGAAAATTTCGAAATAAAGACAGCTTAAATAACTAATATACTAAATTATAATTTCAGAAGGGTTTTGTGGATATTATAGTAATTTTATTAGTTGAGATCATTAGTGAATTGAAGTTAGACCACCATGGAAAACCTGGAACTCAACTAATAACTCACTGAAGACGATGTTGGATGGGTCGCTCAATTTCGTGGATTATTTGAAGTTAGACATTAACACCGTTGGATGCTAGTTCAGTGGTCTATAGATTAAGCGCTCGCGCGCAAGACTGATAGATCCTGGGTTCGAATCTCGCGAGACAGGATCGTGAATGCACACTGATGGGCAGTCCTACTTTAGGACAAAACGGCCATCCAGTGCTTTCAGGTTTTCCATGGCGGTCTAGTTTCAATTGTCTATTGATCTCAACTATTAAATTATAATTATTGGAAACTATATTTATCGATTCATTGATCATTGAGACAAAATCTTTTTTTTTTGATAACTATTCTGACATTTGTTAACTTAATGTCATAGATTACAAAACAACATATCGTCTTTTTTGTTTGCTTATTGTCAGTTAGTATTTCGTTAGTTCAATATTCGGTATTCACTTCTTCTAGTCGATATTGTTTTTCTTCTGTTTTGCTTTATGAAAAAAGTTACTTCAAATTGTGATGAACAGACTGTTATAAAGAAAAATTTCTTTTTTTTTCTGGATAAAATCTGATGTATCTTATTTCTATTATTCTGTCGTTTGATTATGATATGAATAAAAAACACTTTCAGATTATCAAAAAGATGATTAGAAATTTTGAATATAATTACTTACTTATAGTTTTTTTTTTCTTAAAACAAAATTGTAACGATAACAACAGTTTCTGTTGGGTCGGATCGTTTTGTTTGATTGATCGATTTGATTAACTATTAGAAATTGAAAATTGAAATCAAGTTTACGGATTACATAAAGAACATGAATGCTTTTCAAATATAAGTTATTGGATAAGTATTGCTACTTGAGATATATGAGTAGATGAATTTCAGATCGAAATTATAAAATTTAAGTACTCACCAGATATGATCTCTGGTGGATTTGTGTCTATGTGTTTCTGATTAGTTCTAGACTAGGCTTAAATAGTTGTCTATTGCTTTCTGGTTTTCAGTGGTTGTTTAACTAAAATCGATCCGTGATGATGTTATTTTAAAAGTTTGTTATGGATTTTTATGTGACCCCACTAACTTACTTTCATAGATTTAATCGGGAAATAGTTTTATCTGAATAAAGTTACAACTACTTTATACATAGTCGTATATACTCTAAAAAGTGTTCATAGTAAACACAAGTTGAATAGAAATTGCATATTTAATATCTTTTATCATTTTCATTCATATTATCTTGTTTCTAATGACATTTATTGTTCAACTCTTAGAAAAAAACCCGTTTCAAATGACTGAACCTTTCATACTTATTTCAAATGAAAATATATTTGCATACATCTTACAATAATTTTAAGTTGTATAGTAACTTAAGTTTTTTATTGAAATGTTATCATAAATCTGTCTAATAGAATGTATAATGATCCATATTTGAAAGTTCTTTAAACCGATTGTTTAATAATAACGATTGGTTTCTCAATACCGAACAGCATAATATTTTTTTATGACCTCGGAATTGACATAATGAAAGAGCAGTGAAATTGGTAACATTTATAAGATGAATAAATAACCTACTTATATTCAAATTAAAGATAATAATTTCTTTGTAAATAACTCTCATGCTATTTAAGACGGAGATAGTACAGTGAACATTGTACTCTTTTGTATTGGAGGACATTAAATCTTTTGAGTGTCAGTGTGAATCGAATTACAGGATTTTTATTCAACGTAAATAGGATAATCATTTTCAATAAATTCAACATTGTATTTCTATTACATCAGTGCAAAACTGTTTTCCAGTATTGAATCATGAAAACTAATACATTAGCAGACATTATTGTGTGATATCTATCTAAATGGTTCAAAGATTAGTTAAATATGATATTCTGCATAGCTAAATGAAAACATACTTTTAAATTACTAAGTAGTCAGATATTCTTATGTAAAAAAGCTTAGTAAACTTTAAATATTAGGTGATAAAGCTAATTAATTTATGATCACTTTTATGGTTTGTTAATTTAACACTAAACTTAGAATCGTCAGAATTAGACATGATTCATGTAGATCATGAAGTTGAAATCCGATTGGTACACAATTTTGAATTAAGCGAATTCGTGATATTCTGTGATAATCACCAAATTCTACGGGTGATTACTACTGCATATCTAGTACGTTGAACTTTATTAGCCCCAACTGATAGTGGTCTGTAATAAAAAGGTTTTACAGAAAAATGAGTGAAAATTCCAACCTAAGACTTTTTCGTAGTATGAACTCTCAGCCTCCATAAGTTATAGGACCCAAAAGCTCCAGGGATCGAAGCGAAAGCTTAATTTACAGAGCAGAGGTGGCTCTTAATTGTTTACCATTCTAATTTTAGTCATTTTTCGATATCCCATATCATCATCCATTGTTATTGATGACGTTTGTTTCACTCCCAAGATAAGTGAGGTGCATTGATCATGGCTTGGATTGGTTACTAGTATTCACATAGTAATTTCTAATATTTGTGCGACGAGTTATGGGTATTATTAGATTTTGCAATTTTATATCATAGACTGACTTCAGTAATAAAACAATTAAAAGCAGGAAACCTTGAGCAGCTGTTTCTTCATATTATTGGTCTCCTCAACAATGCAAAATCATTCATTTTAAGGAATCAATTACACAGTAGAGTTATCTGATCGACTATAATAAATATATTACTACGAAGTGTCTATTTCTTTTGTCTTTTTCTGATTTTTTAATTTCTTTGTACGAGGATGAACAACATAACCTTCAAACAATCACTATTGGAGTATCTTTTGTTGGAATAAGTTTATTTCGCGATAATAAAATGTTACAACAATATTCTTGGTAAGCTTTTATTGTTAATACTTTCAGTTAATTGTAACCTATTTCTTATCATTTGTATGAATGGTTAAATTGCATTTTTCCCTTGAGTCATTACTTCCACTTGTATTTTGTTTTATAATAAACATATTCATCGGTCTTATATAATTGCACACTTGCATGAATATGATTACATACTATTTAATAATGAAAAAAGCTTATCCTGTTTTTGCTATTTAAATATCTTTTTTTCTAAAAATAATATAATGACGTTTTGTATGATATAGTCAATGCAGTAGTTCAACTTTCCTCGTACCTATTTGTTTGCATTAACAGTTGAGATATGGTTTTTTCAAAAAATCCTCCAGGATTACATTCAATTATATGGTTACATATTTTTAGTTTATAATAAATATCCGTTTACTTTATACAATTTATGTGATGCTGTGAAGAATAAAAATAAATACATGGTTTGGATTCCAAAAGTACTGAAACTTGACTTGATATATCAGGAATATTCTGCTTGCTTGACTTAAAAGTCTTAAAGTCCTATGATTAAGGATCAATTGTTCGGCTTGTAGACTATTTAGTCGTTTCTGAATTATAGTTTGCCAAAGCCACTTGTAATTATTTGTAAATTCTTCTGTCATTTATGTTGGTTCTTCTTGATGCACAATAATTTTGATCTATGCGATATAGTATTTCTCCTGGTCAAATTTTGAATAATGGCTGCCAGATCATTCGGTCTCAAATCGTAAAGTTATAGTATAATTTCGTGCTGATTTTCGAATTATCATTCAATGGCACTAACACGAATAATACTCTCCCAAATGACGAAGTTTAGTAAATTGCGTTATACTACTGGCACTTAATCAATAGCATAAAATAACAAGATCAAATTTCCAAGTTCATAGAATATCACATCACTACTATTCCGAAAAGCCTGTTGGGAGAGAAATATGTCAACCTGTTTCGTCTTATGTATTTAACCTAGTTAAACCTCTCAAAATTCATGTGTTCTATGTAATATGAATGATTGTTGACAAATTGTAGGACGTTTAGTTTTAGAGGGATATTATTTTGTCTCTTATGGTTTGTACATACTAGCACACATTTTCACTGGCTTTGTGGATATTATACATAAGAAAATAGTTTCAATAATCATTGGCTTGAAAGTCATCTGAATCACAACTTTATTCTTTACAGCTTTCTACTAAATGAATAAACGTCTAATTCAAATTTTTTATATTTAACTCTTTAGGGATAACATTTCGAAAATCAATTTCAAAGGAAAACGATTCACAATACATTTTAAAACGAGTTCAGTGAGTCATAAATTTAAATGCTTTGCTTAGTTTTGTTTATTATTCTTGTCGATACTGTATCAATCTTTAAATAACACTATCCATATTTGATAGTATTTAATCACTTTGGAGTCAGAAAACCTTTTGTCGTTAGATGATCTTTATTGATAGTTTCTACTGTCTCACGTCTGTCACATACACTATTTTGATGAATTCACAACTTTTGACGTATTCCCATCATACTTCGCGTGGATGATGCTGATTGTTCTATCGATCCTACTCCTTAAGGTTGTGCTATGTTTGAAGAAATTACGAGTTCACCTAATCTGAGAACGGAAGGAAGATTCTATGCCACAAAGACCAATAAACTAGCTATTGTGAAGTGTCCCATCCCGGATAATTAGAGAGAGAGAGAGAAGTCCAAGTTCGGAAGAGGGGAATATATTCCACAAGCAGCTAGAAGCACGAACAACCACGGCAAGTCTAGTCGGAAATACACACATTAATGTATTGATTCATACACACATTTTTGATTAATAATTAGAATAAAGTCACATACATGAAAAATACTTAAAGTTATAACAAATGACATGCTGAGTATAGTTCATGTTAACTTAATACAAGAATATCGTATGTTATACAAAATAAAATGTCATACGGGAAAACACAAATAAATACTACATTAAGTAATCATCACATTGAATTAAAAACGGAAGTAATGCTGAATAAAAATCATAATGAATAAATTAATCTAATTTTGACATTTCGGCGAGACTCTAATTTATTGACGAGCCAGTCAGAGGTGTTACGGTTACGGTGCCAACTTCAGTGCGTTATATTAACGTACGATTGGTTCACAGGGAATTTTGTACAAAACGTGATAATTGAGCGGCTATAACAAAAAAAACTGCGGGACTATAATTTATGGACGAATCAATCAGGTATAAGATAACAGATCTCGGATTTTAACGTGAAAGCCTTTCATCCATTTGGCTAAATACATTTCTGGCATTATAGCTGATGTCAGTTCGTGATGAAAACCCCATATATAATTCCTAACTAAGGCAAATTACGACAATTATTGCGAACTGGATAATAAAAGCACCAGTAACACTGGCTGTAGCCAGGTACTACAATATATACGGATGTTTGGAGAGTGTACAGACTCCTACATAGGCTTGGTTATGTGTGTCGTGTCATTATCTATAAGTAGCATTTAGTGCACTCAATAACCGGAGTGCACATAAACAATATTGAAGCTATGTGGTCGAAGCTGAAAGAGTTTTTGAGACTTTATCATGGCTCCAGAGGCCGACTATTCTGTAACCGTATGGATGATTTCCTCTACTGCATTCATTACGATTTTGAAACCTCTGGACCTCTTACTAACCTTGACAAGTTTTGAACCACGTATAAGAAGTGTTTCTACTTTATTTCCTTGGTTTTGTATAACATATTTTTACTTTATCCTGACTGTTCGCTGATTGGCTAATATTTCTCAAGGTTGCTTAAGATTCGTTCGAAGGTCCTCCATAAATTAGAGTTTCGCTGACTTTTCTACCAGTCACATCAGGTTGACAATTTGATACGAGCATTGATCAACCTTAATTATCTGAAAACGTGGTATAAATTGTCATACACGTTTTTTATTTTGTACATTCGATTTGTTATTCTTTGTTACGTATTCACTGTCATTTTTCAAACTTTAGAAAAATTCTCTAATTGATAATTGTGCTATTATATTTATAAATTGAATTAGTTTTTCACTTCCTTGTAGATTATACTTCTTGTATCACCATTTCACAGACCTTAACGTTACTCAGTATTCATTTAGAGAGTCATATAATGACTTCATTGGAAACTACTACGGTAATTCATCCTAAGTAGAAGAATTAGACATAAGATATGCAAACGATACAAATAATGAATGAATAAAATAAAATGAAAATGCATCATTCTATGTAACTCAATTCGCTAGAAGAATTAAGTCATTTTACATTGATATAACTATCTAAACCCATTTTTTTTAACTACAACTAACTAAATAAGTTTTCTCATTTTAAATTTATGATAAGTAACTTGTTATTTTATATTTAATAATTTATGTACCAATAGACGTTTTCGTAGAAATTTCACCTACTTCTATAGAGTAGGACCTCCGCAGATGTTATTATCATTTTCCTTCTTTTTTGTTCTGTAGGTACCATTTCTCCATAGAAAAAACTTTATACTAAACTATGCCTTCTCATTTAACTTTATTAATGACATTCGTAAAGAATCATCATTCAGAAATAATAATAAACTTTATATGCAATTTTATGATTTCATTTTCAGAAATCAATGAATGGTCATGTTACTTCTATTAGTGGATTAACTAGTCCAATCATAAATTTTGGAAGTGAATTAAAACAACATTATCGTTTTCCATCAGCTGTAAGTACTAAATTATTTTGGCAATATGCAGTTAGTTGTCATGCATTTTTTCGTGTTCGTGAACCAAATTCGACAACACAACGTAAATTTACTACTGGTTTAAATCAACAAGCATCAACTATATCAGCAACAGCGCTTTACGCAGCTATGTCAAGAATTGCTAGCGGTTTCCAGCGTTATTTTTCAATCACTAGGCGAAGTAGTCTTTCAACTGCCACTCCTAATGGTCCAGTTGGTGGAGTCGGTCGTACTTTATCTACACTAATGGAATTAAGGCGTAGCTCCAGGGCCTTTGATCGTAGTTTTTCAAGGTGAGATTTTATTTAATGTATGAGTTTTTCTTGTGCTCTACTTTTAGAAATGTCACGTTATATACTTTAGAGATAACAACAACGGTCGAGATGGAGATATATGTTTATTTACTGGAATCTTAAAATAGTTTATAATAACTAATATTCATATTATTCTCAAGAAGTTCAATAATCTACTCAAATCCCTTATATGTTAATAATTGCTATATGCTCGCTGGTGTTTAATTTCGAAGTAGTAGTTCCTGGAGTCATAGTGGGAAGCTGCGACCTATGTTATCCAACTTTGTCGAGTATGAGATGGTTACTTATCGCTGCAATTGAAAGATGGTTATGCAATATTGCGGATCCTTTGGAGCTAGACATGCAAACCGTTGGGTTTACAAACATTGGTCTAACGGTTAAACCCTTGCATGGAGCCTAGAGGTCCCACGTTCCATCTATGATAGGATCGTGAATTCCCACTCTTAAGAAGTCTCATACCAGAACGAAACTGCTATCCAATGTTTTCTGGTTCTCATTAGTTGCTTAACAATAGTCAGCCTTCCCTATCGACAATATTGTCGTCTATTATTGAAACATAAGCGTAAGAAATTAATGAATATTTCTACGTCAAAATAGTTATACGTAGCTATTTTCATTAAGTTCATTTTGTGGACCTATTGACTAGACTAATACATAATGGTAGTGTATAAGTAATCTGTCCTCGGATAAATAATTGTTTAATTTTACCGATTATACTGCATGTCATTGGACATTTAAATTGAATTAATTCAAAACTTACTTAGATTCATGGTGATTAACTTTGATTTATTCATTTCAATATCATCTTGTTCTCCAACTGTAATATATGACTAAGTCCTTAGTTGACGACATATATATTCAAAATTTGTAAAGGCTTAGAGATATTCACTTCCGTAAATTCATAAATTTAGATCAAAATGAACACTCCGTTTTCAGTTCATCTACATTCATAAAATTTGTGATGAAAATTCCTATGTTGTAGTTGTTGTCAATTCTTGTCACCTGTGAAGTTCAGTATGTCTATTCAATAAAGCTGTACACAGACCTATAATCGTTTTCATGAATGAATAGGGTTCCTTAAAACTTCATACTCATTCGCTACTCAACACATTTCAGTGTTGTAAATGTTGACTTACCATCTTAAGTAATTTTTCCAATGTTCAATATGTCACTTCAAATTAACAAATTATTAGTATAGGGTTGTGGAGATTGTTGAGTCTAAATTGATATCATGAATGGATCAGTGTTAGACGAACATTGAAAACAAATTATTGATATTTACCAAATCGCTTCAAGTAGATACTATTCAATTGATTGATGTCAATTTATATCATAACAAATCATTTCCCATTCTCCACAGGCTATTTTTTTTACATATTACTGATATTTTATAACTGCACACTTCAAAATACTGATGTACAGTTGTCATACATATATTCAGTATCGAGTGTATCCTGCTAATAGCATAATGTAATTTTTAATAGATGATAATCGGAATAGAATTTAGTGTATATTACCTAATATACACTCATTAAATGACAATTCATGAATAATCTATATATCCCCTCATCTCTGTACCCATTTTAAACTGTTTGTATTATTGTATTATGTAACTGTTTGGATATGGTTAAGCTTTTAATTAGACTGATCTGAAATTTTTTTTACCATAACTAAAACGACAGAAATGCATAATATAGAACAATGAAAATGGACAACCAAGCTTTTTTATATGTTAAAGTACTAGTTCCGTGAGGATATATGAACAAGGAATAGCCATAATAATGCAATCGAAAGATTATAATACTAAATTCCGTAATTTAAACAGTAACAATAGACTTAACAAGTTAGTAACGGATTATGATTTGAGTGCAGTGAGATGGTTAGAATATTTTTGTTACAATAATCAAAGGTAATAGAGATGCAAAAATATGTTTACAAAAAAGGAGTCCGATACGAGAAAGAAACGGCTCATGAATTCAACTATAAAAATGGCCTCAATCTCTATAATCCCCCATTCTGATACAAATATACGATTGTACAGCCAGGTTTGTTTTAAATCTTTTGATAATGTGTTCACTAGTAAATAAATGAGTCAACTATATCATTTTTTCCCTTAGTTTACTGAAGTTCAAATATCGCTAGTGAACAATCTCTTTCAATGTTTAATTAAAATGATATAATTCACTGATCATTTTATCTAATTCGCTTAATTATCTCTTTATAAAATTTGTGTTAACAGTATTTGTAGTGCAGTTCACATTTTTAAAGAATCCCTTTTGATCATTCCAAACAAAAGACTTGAAAGTTATCTGATTATGTAAGCTGTTCACTGAATCCCTAACTTAAATATTTATCTTACATTTTGAATAGAAATACAAATAAATAAAGAAAGTTGCAGAAAAATCCTTTATCTTCTAATACATTCCTTATGTATGTAAACGAACATCGACAGTGTTATTTACTGATTTATCGGTGACACCTTGTTTCTCTTAATTTCCTTTCTAAACACTTAAATAATCATATATTATGATGAAACATAACCATCGTCATATGATATATCGTGATTTTCAACATAAGTGCGGCTTTTCAAATAATTTCCCTTTCACATTACTTCAGGTTGTCACTGAATACGCTTTTATTAACTTTAGTTATTCAAAATTTTGCTTAAAATCTACGTCAGTCATCTAAACCTTTTTCTATCCAGAACACATAGTAGGCGAAGTAATCCTCTACCTCAAGTCAATTCAGTTCAAATTGCATCACCTTCATTCAAACCAGATAGTTCAACCAGTTTATTGTCTGGAAATCCTATAGATTCAATTAATACAACTGGAAATCAATCAAAATCTTATGCTCAAATCCCTCCTGGTGCAAAAATTACTGGCTCTGCAAGTAGTGGAATATTAAGTGACAGTAAAATAACACGTTCAAGCTATCGTAGCAGTACTAATCAAAACCGTGAATCAAATAACGTTCTATCATCGCACACATCAATTAATACTAGTGGTAAAGCAAAGAAGTTAACAACAGATATGGAAAACTCTACTAATGTCATTCGTTTATCTAGTCATTCGAAACAGAGTTGTAATGAGGTAATTATTAGTAACTAATATTGATTATTTTGATACTAAAACGTTTACTTAGTGTTCATATATATAAGTCGATTATTCTGCGAGATTTCAGTGTCGGGAGTAACAAGATCATTTAGGTGGAGTTTTGCCTTCTGAGATGAATGTTTTGGTCGTGGATCTTTCATCGTTCTTCTGAACGACATCATCGGCACCATTTTCAGGTAGTAGTGAAGTGATCGAATTTCTCCACACATGACTCGCAGAGAACAAACTCCACCTAAGTCATCTATCTCAGCTACAATTCTCCATTGTATTACGATCATGATCCAATATTCGTCATTCATTAACTATTTCCCTTTTCTCCTTTTAAGAACTGCTGTTCAAATAAACCTTCGTACTATTCTTTGATAACTGATAATTTGATTGCTTAAATATTTACCTAAGTTATATATTGTAGTTATCTACGAGCCTCGTTATTTTTAGTTTTGAAGTATTTGTTGCTTTATTTATGTATCGACAATTGGATAAATTTTCTGACTGTCAAAAGTACATATATAGACCATATGTAGATTCACAATACCGATATTTTCCCCAATGAATGCGGAAAATTAATGAGGTTCCTTGAGATTCATATTAAAATGCAATTCACAAAAATGAACATCTAGACAATCATTGCATTAAGAAAGCATTTGATGAATTTTAACACTTCAATCAATTAATTATATAACTGTTTACTGTAGAAATATGTAGAGAAAGACAGAAATTTGAATTTATAATGCGCCAAATATCTGTTGTTGTTAAAACAAATTCTAATTTACTAATGCTTCTTTTATAAATCTGGTTTATACGAATTTGCAAACAAAATAATTTCTTTAAATTTACTTAGCTCAGTACATAGAAAGAATATGTAATATAAATTTCCAATGTCCATTGTAGTATCATTAAAAATAAACATATGTTGGTACTGAGCGCTTATAATACACGATAAGTTCAAATATTAATTGGACATATTGGATCGAGAACTGGAATGTCTTCGCATACTTCAGACGTCTATGATATATTGTTATCAAAATAAAAATGGTATTAAATGTATCGAAGCTGTAAACATAAGGATTTTCATAACTCTGGTGTAGTTCAATTCAAGAGTTTAATATACTTTTTGTGAATAGATATTAAATTCCTAAAAGATATCAGAAAACCTAAAATAGTCTGTTTGAACGCAGAACTAAGAAACCAAAATTTATTCGATTAGACCAGACTGTGTTCTTCTATATTGCGTACAAAGCGTTTTTGAGTTACTCATATCAAATGAAATCAACTTAAATTGTTTAACATGTTGAGCCATAGCCGAGCTTTCAACCAATAAGCCATATATTCGAACTCTGCTCAACCTACTTTCATTCAAATAGCTGCATTGTATCATTAACCCTCAAACTAAAAACATGTGGCTCAAAACCGAGTATACGAAACCTATATTTGTAAAGTGAGCAACATTAATTTCGTGTAAAACAGCTTAGAGATCTTAACGTTTTGAAGTTGAAAACGTAAAATTTCTAATCCACGTACCTGTACAAATTAAGTCCGTTTATTATATCTAGGGTAAATTTTCATAGTTTAAATGTTTTACACACGCAAAAAATGAATTTCCCGGTTATTTTCAGTTACTATCCTGACTACATTCAACTTATTTTGAATAAGATTTGATACCCGTCCTATTTTTTACACTAAATGTTTATTATGGGTATTACAAGTTATTTTAATAACTAATGATTGATTAAGAACAAGACTGAAGATTATAAAACAACATATATCTATGTATTTCCTATAATTATTTTCACGTACGTCTATTCAACCCAAGATGTACGTTTTGTCTGAGAAGGAACAAAGGTGTTTCTATTTTAAAAGAATCTGTTTGACTTTTTTCGTAATCTTTTTTTAAGTTTGTTTCTATTCTTGTTTTCAGGTATCATCTCAAAGGAATCCAACTAATATAACATCTAATCAGTTAGATAAACCTCTTCGACTTAAATCATTTAAAACAACTAGCCCAGTAAATAGTGTTACTGGAGGAACAACACGAGTCAGCCAACGACGTCAACACAACCAACAGTCGTCTATTCCTCTTCAAAACCAACACCAAGAAACGGTAAGTCTTTTGATGATCTAAAATATGTTTTGTGATTAATAATACTATATTGTCCGCTACATACTCTGACAGATATAAGCAGTGTGTAGAAGCAGTCGTAGGTGGAATGCCTGTCAGCAGAATATCGAATCTAAGAGATTGGGAGGGGAAACAGAGAGCAAACGTGGTAACAACAGAATTGGTAGAATCATGAAGTGTTTGAAGGGTAACTAAAGAAAGATGTGCAAATACTGTATTTATTATGTTTGATTTTTATAAAACAATAAATTGGTTTTCCCCGCCTCAGTTTTCGTTCACTACAGTAGTACTGTTCATCATACTTAATATCATCAAGTTATTTGATCTAATAGATGACCATTATACGCTGATCATATTTTTTTTAAAAACTTTCAGTTTAATACATTCTTAAGTCAGTCACAATTATTGTTTTTAAAGTCATTGATGATATAAATTTATTAGATAAAAGATAATCATTCAATTGGTGGTTGTTTGTTATGTTTTCCTCTAGATAAAATTCACTTATCTTCGTTTAATTAAATAGAATTGTTTTCTTGTTAATTATTTTTTTAGCATTGACTGTTTGAATCTTCCCACTGATGTTTAGGACTACAACTGATCAGTCTCTCACTGAGATATGTGCATCCTGCGCGGATTGCCTCAATATTGCTTTAAGTTACAAGCATTATAAGCCATGATGGGCAGTGACAAGCAGAGACTTATCAATTGCAATCCTAAACATCAAGATTCAAACAACCAGTACAAATGAATTAAATTTCACTTCATTTCATAAGCCAGTGGCTTTCTGAACTTAGTATCTAAGTTGACTGCGCGTTAGCATTTGAAGTAAACAGTACTTCGTTCAAGTCCTGGAATGAACATCAACTCTAGGATACAGGTGCATCCAGCTGATGAGTCCCAAATAGGACGAAACGCGCATACTGTATTCTACTACTAGCCACCATCCGTTCCGTTGTTATTAGCACTGCGAAATGATGAATAAATTTATTGTTGGGTGACGTCACGACAGTAAAAACTTCACAAATAAATTATTCAACTGAAATACAAATAAAACTTTTGCCTTTAAACATGCTTAAATGAAATTAAGTAGTTCATTGATAATTAACTTAAAAAAACCAACGTCAGCCAGCTTCTTATTAAGTTATTTGTTTTACTGAGTGTTCAAGTGTTAAGGTTTGTGATAATAAACATGATTCATAGGCCTAAATGAAAGTTATAACTTTGTTCTTTTTGGAAATTCAAAATTTGGTCACAGTGACAAAATGTTTCCTTCGTTTGTTACAGCTTCTATTTCCTTTTGATATTATTAATGATCACCTTTTTCATTAATAAACATCATATGGTCCTGTTGAGAGATGTTCAAGAGCTTTATTAATATAATCTGTTTTATTCATGAATACTGTTGTGTTGCCTTTGTCGGCTTTTGTGATGATAATCGTTTTGTCTTTTTGAAGCGAATGCATGGCGTTCAATTTTTCTTTCGAAATGTTTGGTGTAATGTGTTTTTGTTTAGTCAATATTAATAAAGCTCTTGAACATCTCTCAACAGGACCATATGAAAAGATCAATCCAAAGAATTCTCTAACGATTAAAAATAAAGTCAAATCAGAAACAAGTCAACTTCTGAAAAAGCTAAAACCAGTCATATATGTCTATCTTTGGTTTGCTCTGAATCCCAAATCATGTAATGTTTCACGGTTTTATAGTTTACCGAAAATTCATAAACTAGATATCCCTCTAAGACCGATAGTAGACTTTACCAACACAACAACATATGCGTTATCGAAATATCTAAGCAACATATTAAAACCACTACAGCTTAACTTACATAATATGATTAAAGATACATATGACTTTAAATCAAAATTATCGGAATCAATTATCGAGAAGAATGAGTTAATGGTAAGCTTTTATGTCGTTTCTTTATACATCAGTATTCCCATTGATAAATGCTTAGAATTGATTAGTGGTTTACTAGAGAACGATAATACTCTTTCTGACAGATATCCTTTGAGCATCAGTCTAATCATGAGATCCTTAAAACTCTAATTAGATCCGACTCGATTCCCTTTTAACGGGATGTTATACAAACATACTAACGGTGTAGCAATGGGATCCCCCATTGTCCCCAATTGTAGCCAACCTTTTTATGACACACATAGAATCAAATTTCTTCGCTCACGACATTTAAACCACGAATTTGGCTTAGATATATAGATGATACATTTGTTGTGATAAAAAAGACTCATCTAATTTCTTTTTCAAAACGGATAAATACACTTTCATCTCACGTCAAATTCACGAATGAAAATGAACATGGTGAGCTACCATTCTTAGATTGCTTAGTGAAAAGAAATCTAAATAGAATTCTGAATCTGTCCATCTACCGAAAGCCTACACACTCTAATCGCTATATTAACTGCCAAGATCTCGCTAGCCTTAAATCGTTTTAGAAGAGCTAACATGATCATCACATAAGAAGACAAACAAAAAGAACAAAAGAGTGTAATTAATATCTTACAATTTAATAATTTCCCTGTGAAGATTATCAGAAGTATATTAAATCAAGACGGTTTAGTGCGTTATAATAATAATTCGAATGAAATGCCATGGATTGGTACTGCAGTTTAACCATTCCGTCATGGCACAACAGAAGAACTCCAAAGAATATTAAAACAACACAGAATTAAAGTATATTACAAAACAACGAACACACTTCGAAATACTTTAGTTCTCTTAAAAGAAAAAATCCCTTTCATGTCCACACAGAACTGTGTCTACAAATTAGGTTGTATCGATTGTGATGCCTTCTATATGGGAGAGTCATCTCGAGAAATCTTGACTAGAGCCAAAGAACATTTTAGGTACACAAAGAAACCTAACAATCCCGTATAATTGGATAAATTTCAAATTAAATCGGCAATAGTAGTTCATGCCATTTTCAACGACCACCAAATTGATTTCAAAAATATCAAAATATTGCAAAAAGGCTTTTTCAACTACAAATAAAGGAGAGTAACTGAAGCGTTCCATGTAATGCTTAATCCTACTTCTATCAATAGAAAAGAAGGCCTTACCTTACATCCTACTTGGACTATCTATCCTAGCCATTCAGTCTGATCTTATTTGCAAATTAAACTCTATCCTTTCCCACTATAAATGTCAAACAATTTTTCATCCTTAATCAGTACACACATACATACACACAAATTTACATAGATAACACTTACGAATCACCTTGACCGAAATGACTTGAAATTAACTTGTTCAAACTTGTTTTTGATTGATCACATATTATTCTTGTTGTTCCATTGTTCTATTTAAACTTGGATTAATTTTAATTCGGTAATTTATTCTCTGAAGAAGTGACTTGCACTAAGTCACGAAACTTCAGAAAATCTAATTTTTCTACTCATTGGGATATTACAAATATATTATTTATTTATAACAAAACTTCATTGTTTTTATATCCACTTCTTGAGACTGTTTCTCCTGTAGTGTTAATATTCAAACTATAACCAAAGAAAACTTGTCAAGTGAAAAAGAAAAATATCGCCTTACAACTTGTTTCTACTCGTTTATGCCTTAAATTTATAAAAATGTGGTTTTTAAACTAATAAATATCATTTCACTTTCATCATACAAGTAGATTTAATGATTGACAAAAGAATCTTGTCATTGTATTCACAGTTTTGTATTTCATTTGGTAATAGCAATCTGTTACATTGTAAAACATTATCAGACACAGTTTTAACGATGTGACAGTCTATTTGGAAACTTGTTACTTATGTGCCGAAGTTTATAATAACAATTAATATTATTGATTGTTACAATTATCCCGTTATAAGACGGACCAGTTTAACACTTGTGGAATAATCGTATAAAAAGTCACTAATTTTCGAAGTAAGATCTGGTACTTTTTCCCAAAATGGCGATGAAAGCTTCACATTTTATTCAAACTGCTAAAATAAGCCTAGAGTCCCTCCAGGGGCTACTGCCGGTCCCAAGCCCGGATAAAGGAGGAGGGTTGGGCATGGGGTTAGCGTCCCCATCCCGTAGAAAACTAACTCGCTAAAAAAACGCTAACCAGAAAGAATTATTCAAACCTTTTAACCTCTGCCCTGGGAGTCAGAAGGTCTTCATTTAGAAGAACTATGACGCCTCATGATGAAAGCCGAATTCCTTCGGAAGTTACGAGGCCGATGCCACTTCTGACAACCAGAGCGACCATTTATTTAGGTACATGGAATGTTCGTACAATGTGGGACACCGGGAGAGCCTTCCAAATTGCTGCAGAAATGAGAAGATACAACCTAGAGGTACTTGGGATCAGTGAAACACATTGGACGCAAGATAAGCCAACATTAAGGAAATCAACATACTGTACTTTAGGACTCTTCAGCACTTAAAAGTCCCTTAATTTTTCAAAGACTGAGTCATTTATATCTACTTTCGATAAAGCTTTTCCTAAACCAAATGAATCTCCATAAACACCGATTTGAAAAATAACTTTGGAACCAACTGATTCAACTAAATTTTTATCGTATATTTCCCATCCGTTTTGAATTAAATGTAATCGTTTACTTGTGTTATTTGTACCAGATGAATTAGTTCGCGTTCTTTGTAAATAAAGGAAACAACACCTGTATCTGTTCATTGTCAAAAAATCAATTGATGATTTGCTAGTTATTTAAGTGAAGTATGATCTGGAATCGCTTGTAGTAGCGCAGAAATACTAACACTTTTTATTCATTTTGAACCTCAATTTCAAAAGTATCTTATACGACTTATCTCACAAATTTATTCATTGAGAGCATAGTAATGAGACCAGCTTTATCCAACTAATAACCAGTCAGTAATCAGATTTTATAAATCAATGCTTTATGAAAAGTAAACAATAATATTATAAAAGTAGCCAAATTTCACATAATTATTTTATCAAGGTCTTCTACTGATTGTTCTGCTAATAGACCCAAAAAGCAACCACATGTAAACTATTTTATTTAGATATGGTTCATCTATGTTCTCGAACACTTACGAGAATGATAATGGATTTTTAGAAGTCTCCAGTTTTTTTCTCATTAGAGTTCGGTAAATCAAGAATACGATTTAGCATCAAAACTCGTTTTCTTGATTCTGATTGGCTAGCCCATGTGCTATGCCTTCACGATCCATTAGTCCTTCTTGAATCACTATCAGTACCCAATTCTTTCGATAACCACTAGTTGTTTTACTACTCTTACTACTCTAACATCTCAATAACCTGATGTAGTGTATCATCTTGACCAGATGTATATTTATTCGACTCTATGTTGAATATAGGTGACTGGTTTGACAATTCATTTCAGTAGATTAAACTTATAACCATAGAGAATGCTTCTGAATCTGCAGTCATGTTCAATTCAAATGATATGATCTTTGTAGCTACATATATTTTTAATGAGATATCAGTATCTCTTAACTTGAATAATAATGGTTATTTTTCCAGATAAAATAAACCATCATTTGTACCACAATGAATATTTATTATCATCAGGAATGATAATCTTGACAGCAAAACATTATTTAGTTAGTATTCAGATTGGAGAATGTATACAAGATGGTTAAATGAAGTTTGGTTGACGATAATAATACTAATAATCTTAAATCAAATGAACAGGAATAGAACTGTATACAAAAAAACTATGAAAGGATTCATTTGGTTTTAAGACATTGTCTTTCGAATACTGGATAGGTCAAAGAGTAAGATTAGAATCAATGCAGTAAATGAATAAGTTATATACATTTTTACTTCGAATATATTGTTAGAAATATTGAAGAATACTAAAATGAACCACTTAACATATGTGGTGAACTATAAACTAAGGTTGTAATTTTTTTTAGAACGGTACCAATCCATTTGATACAGGAGAGTAAGTTTTACGTTATCATCATTCTTAAGATTATATACCAATATGCATGAATTTATTATGAAATGCACATTAAATGCTGAGTGTGAGACTGTATTTTTGTGTGTGTACTGCGTAAAAATCCCTGTTGGATAAATGACTATACACCAATACTTTTATTAAACAAACTTTTTTTGGTTAACACAGGGATTTTATAAAAGTTATTCTCATTTTTACTTCAAATTCTTAGTTTTTGTCCAATATGTTCTTAATTTTAAAGAATAAAAATTTATTAGTTATTTAATGCAGTAATAATAGTATATCATAGTTTAATGGAAAAAAGTGACATTTCAAAGGAACATTCTCAGGGGGTTTCTAGGAATTCACTACATCATCTTAGTGTATGCACTTACTGTATTAATGTATCAGCAAATCACCAGTCTAATCTCGTTCTCTTATTATTGAGATTGACTGAATAGTATCAATAGTAGATGCTACATTAGTGTAAGTATGTCTGTTCTGTTTTTTAACTGAATAGTATCAGAGTGTTAATGATCATATTTCATACAATTACTGATTTCTTATAATTTATAATCTGACAACTTAATGATTAAAGCGCTCGATTTTGGGGGATATAGCTTTACGTTTAAATGTATCTCTTTTGCATCATGTCAACAGCTAGGGTAGTATCACAAATCTCAATAAGAAATGAAACCTAGAATCTAACTCACTAACCTGTACACATTTGTTGTTTAACTAAATAATCAAGTTAAAGATAATGACTTTTAAATTTATGCACAGAACATAAGAGATTCTGGTGATTATCTATCTGTTAATGATCACTTCCAAAACGTATAGCACAATCATCGTAGAATAGCTGCTATCAGGTTGATTTGGAAAGAAACTGACGGAATTTCGCATTTTCTAATCAGTACAACTAATAACATTCTGCATGATGAAATAAATGTTTTACAACAATATCAGCGACTAATATTTTTGTCATTTTTCGTCATGTTTACAGAATTCCTCTAGTCATCAACAACACCATAACCATTCTACTGTTGTCAATGATTCTAAAATTTTGTCTAAAAAACCTCAGAAACTACAAATGGTTGAAAATGTTGAATATAAGGAAACAGACACTGTTGATGCTACAAATAACAGTAATTATACAAATAATCAAGAATTTGATAAAGATGAAACTACTGCTTATTGGAATACACGTAGATTACAACGTTTTCAAGCAAATAATAATAATCCTTTCGTTACTACGAGTACAGCCTCAACAATATCAATGACAGTAACAGCATCAACGTCCACACCAATAACGACATTGAGTAATTCTTCAAATTATTCAAAAACTCATTCCGTCTCTAATATAAATAAACATGACGACGCTGATGAGAATGATTATGTTAATCATAACCGTACGGTCAGACGTATTCGACATACTCCAAACGACCAACCTCTTACTGTTACAAATGATTCATATATTGATGAAGACCCTCAGTGTTTCAAATCTTCACGTGTATCGTTAAACAATGCTTTGAATCGTTCAAACAATTCATCTCGTAATCAATTAAATCATTCTATCAAAGGTTTGTTTTTGTTAATTATTCAGATTAACTTCAACATTTCATTTCCTCTTTAATACGTGCATTATTTGAAAGTTAGGTATTCCCTCAATGGAAACATTGAACTTAGATTGTGTTTACTTTTTTAATTATTGAGATATAATTGAATTTAAGAATCTTATTTATTAAGCATATTTCAAGAACAACGTATTGATGTATCTCAATAAAACATCTACTCAACTGTGTTTATGTAGTTAAGTTGCTTGAAGGAAACGTTTTCGACCAATAATCACTGTCACAAATATTTTTCATAGTGGTTTCACTGTGTGTTTTTTTTACCTTGAGAGGTTATATAATTGAGTTTAATTTAGTAATTTTGAAATAGAACACCATTTCATGGAGACTAATAGTTTATTTTTTAAATTAGATCAAATTTAGTCTTCGAGTATATTGAATAAATAAATTAAGCATTTATCACAAAATCTAGTAAATATAGGTTGAAAACTTTTTTTGATGGAGTTTTGTTCTCTGAGCTGGATGGTTTGATCGTGGAGCTTTCATCGTTCTTCTGAACGACATCATCAGCACAAACTTCTCCACCATCTCATAGGTTCACAACGCAAAATAGTAAATAATAGTCAATCTGAAATATCAAAACTGAGAATAAACTAAGATCAAGAATGTTCTACACAAAATGTAAATGGTTTTTTATAAATACTTAAATAACTATTCATTATAGCTTCAATGAAAGAATGATACGTAAGACATTCATAAATTTAGAATTAATGGTTCAGAGTTATTTAGTAAATCTAAGTAGAATTATCCTTTAGTGATAAATAGATTCGACATGAAAATTTAATTTATATTTCGTTAGTATTTTGAATGTGCAAATCTTGATTTCCTCGAAAACAATGTAAAGAATTAAGATACATTCATTGTTAAATTAAATCAAGTAGACGGTAGACGACAAATTTGTTTTATGACTAGCTAACATGTGAGGTTCTTTCTCTAAAGAATTCCGGGGTTTTTTTTTCTAAGAGTTTGATATTCACTTTCTTTTGGGCAAATGAAATATTTGCTAATGTAATAAATCATGCTGTCAAATTAGAATTTATTGACAAATAGTTACTAAGATTTGAAAGATGTTAAGGCAATGTAATAACAAATCCATATTTGGATGAAACTTATAATGAAGATATTTTCTGGAATAAATGTAAATAATAAAATAAAAACATCATAGGTCTATACTACCAGATATAAGCCACACTTTTTTCATAATGTTTAACTGTAAGTCTTAAACTTCTAGTTAGCCATATTAAATAAAATTTTATTTCTGTAGAATTGTGGATAAACCGAGTAAATCATGAATAGATTACTGACAATACTTTAAATACTGAAACAAAGTTAAGAAATTAAGAATCCAAATAGTCCTATATTACTGCCATTGAGAATGTTTATATTACTGAAAACAGCCTCCATTGCTTTTCATTTTATTATTGTCTTTCATAGTTTACATTTCAAGTTAATCTTAACTAGACATCTATTAAGAACTCAGATCACTTGATATTTGTTTCGCTTTTATATAAAGCGTAACAATGTTGTACATCTACGTCTCACCTGGAGATTGAGTCAATGACTTCCAGGTCATCCAATACTTAACTTCTAGACTATTGAGCTGGCATCCGACACTTCACATGTTCAGTTCCAACTGGTTCATGATATTGAACGACTCTTTTCTGTTGCTTTCAGTTTGTAACTACTCCACATATGACATTTCTGAACTCCAATTGTCGTGGCTTCTTGCTAGAACTCTTGGTTTAATCTTTCGAAGTTAGTCACTAATGAGCATATAATAATTATTGCTAGAAATTCCTGGAGATTGTTGAATGCAATAATTAAAATTGTTCATTTATAAATCTGAGCTTACATTCATTCCAGTTACCGTTTCTTATATCAGTTTCTTTTACTGTTTCCAGATCTAAAGATAACTTTTTCATACTGGTTTATCATTTTTTTTAATAGGCAAAACTTTTCATGTGTTAAAGCAACTGAAGCTTGAAGTACTTCACTAAGCAACCAACTCTTATCATTTAAATTACATTTTACCACATTTTTTTAATATTTAGATCATTATTACACACAATAGCAAAATATTGATTGTTTCTTTCTCCATAATAATTAGTTAGTTTCGTTTTTTCATTTTACACTAAAGTAGGAGAGGGGATTTTTTAAAAAGCATTATATTCTATCATACAAAAATGTCTTGAGTGTAATTTTCTTTTATGGAAAAATTCATATCAGAATGGGTTTTGTGGAGAGTTTTAGAAATTTCACAGGTTGAAATCATGGAAGCAATGCTTCCAGGTTTTCAATGGTGGTCTAGCTTCAACTGACTCATGATTTCAATCTATGAAATTTCTAAAACCCTCCACAAAACCCATTCTGATAATAATCAACTGCTCACTAGTGACTGACTTCAGGAAAAACTCCTGGAGTTCTAGTGAGAAGCCGTTACCAGTGGAGTTCAACCGGTCTGTTGTGAGATAACAACTCATTGAAGACAATGGTGTACGGTGGTGCAACTTCGTGAATTGGTTGAAGTTAGATATTAACACCGTTGGATGCCGGCTCAGTGGTCTAGTGGTTAAGTGCTCGCGCGCGAAGCCAGTAGATCCTGGGTTCGAGCCCCGCGTGATGCGGGATCGTGGATGCGTACTGCTGAGGAGTCCCATATCAGGACGAAACGGCCGTCCAGTGCTTCCAGGTTTTCAATGGTGGTCTAGCTTCAACTGACTCATGATTTCAACCTGTGAAAAATTCATACTAATATTAAACTTCTAACTTCTTTTTTTGTTCTGACCGACATATAGTCAAAATAACTAAAATAGTATTCTATAAATATGAGAAGGTTTTTCTTTCTACGAAACTTTTTTTATTATTAAAAAAATTGAAATGAAAATCAAATCTTCTTTAAGATCAAATAAACAAAATCTCGATAGAACAATGAGTAGACGGAGTTTATCAGCAAAAATGTGATGTATTTGCGTTATACATTTCGAACAATCTGATCACACACATTTACTTGTCAAGGCATTTTTATATGAAAATTAATTAAGGTCAATTAAATGAATTTACCTTGATAATCCTTAAGTCATTCTATAGCCTAAGATAACGCGACAATTTCTTATTCTTTCTCTTCCCTTTGTTATTTTACTTGAACTTTCATTTAATTGACGTTTATGAATTTTCATATAAAAATGCCTTAACAAGTATATGTGTGTGATCAGATTGTTCGAAATATATAGCTCAAATACATCACATTTTTGCTGATAAACTCCGTCTTTTCATTGTTCTATCGAAATTTATAATAAAGACTAATTGCGTTAAAAAAAGAATCATAATCATGGTTGAGTTGATTTTAACTTTGAAAAAAAAACAATAATTTCAAGTGTTGGTATACCGTTCTTTCATAAAGATAAATGGTTTGTATGGTGTGTCGATTTTGTTATTCATTTTAAAATTTTCATTATTCGGTACCTCATCTGATTTTTTGAATTAGGGTTGTGTTATTACAAATGCTGGGAGAGTTCAAGACTAAATTTGCACAAGATTATTCATTGAAATATCTAGATTTTTTTAAAATAGTTATTAATGGTGATTTGTATTGGAATGGTTGACACACCTTTAGTTTTATTTATCCACCCTTAAGATGTGACTAAAAATCCTTATTCTGTTTAATTCATTACATCTCTACACTAATTTTTGTCAGTTTTAATATACTGGTTCTGATGATCATACAGACATATTTTTGTCCTTTATTGACTTTTCTTCAACAACAAAAAATTAAAAGCTTCCTTAAGAAAATCACTTGCTTGCATTCAGCACAGTCGAAATTCTGTTATCTTGGTTGCTTTCTGATATCTATTAGATGTATGTTTATCCAACCTAAGTAGAAGTAATAAGTGTCTATTATTATCACCAGTATAAATTCTAACATCATTTCATATAAACATCTCTGTCTAAAAAGACAAATACAAAGACTGAAATAACAATTAACTAATTATCTAACTAAGCAGAAAAACATCTTTTTTTTACTATTAAGTTAATAGTTAAATTATCACTTAAATTCTGTTTATTCCCATAAAATTTATTCCGATGAATTCTTAGTCATTTTGGCAAGTTGATATGTGTAATCATTCAATGAAACTTTCTAAATATTTCTTACAATAAGAAAAATATATACAGAAAACGATATATTACATTTTTTGCTACAAAATATATACTTAGCATATTACACAAATACAAATGTAAACAATCTTATGTTTAGTGAAATGACTTGTAGCAACTCATCAATAAAAATGTTACATAAATTTAATATGAAATTAAAAATAATGTAGCAAAATGTTTAAGACATAGTTTCTCTTTAACAATTTATCGGAAAGACAGATTTAACTATATAACATTGTTGCAAGAGAAAAATATAACCTTCAATAGATTCTTTACTTACTTGCTTACTTACGCCTGTTACTCCCAATGGATCATAAGCCGCCGACCAGCATTCTCCAACCAACTCTGTCATGGGCCTTCTTTTCTAGTTCTATCCAATTTTTGTTCATTTTTCTCACGTCTATCTCCATTTCCCGGCGTAATGTGTTCTTTGGTATTCCTCTCCTCCTTTGGCCTTGAGGATTCCATGTGAGGGCTTGTCTTGTGACGCAGTTGGGTGCTTTCCTCAATGTGTGTCCTATCCACTTCCAGCGCTTCTTCCTGATTTCTTCCTCCGCTGGGATCTGGTTTGTTCTCTCCCACAGTACGTTGTTGCTAATAGTGTCCGGCCAACGGATCTGAAGTATTTTGCGTAGACAACTGTTAATAAACACCTGTATCTTCTGGATGATGGCTTTCGTAGTTCTCCATGTTTCCGCCCCATACAGTAGAACTGTCTTGACATTTGTATTGAAAATCCTGACCTCGGTGTTGGTTGACAGTTGCTTTGAGTTCCATATGTTCATCAGTTGTAAATATGCTGCTCTTGCTTTACCGATCCGCGCCTTCACATCTGCATCAGACCCACCCTGTTCATCAATGATGCTGCCCAAATATGTAAAGGTTTTTACATCTTCCAAATCTTCTCCGTCAATTGTGATTGGATTGGTGCATGCTGTGTTGTATCGGAGAACCTTGCTCTTCCCTCTGTGTATATTGAGACCTACTGCTTCTGAGGCTGCTGCTACACTGTTCGTCTTCTCCTGCTTTTGTTGTTGCATTTGGGATAGAAGGGCCAGATCATCCGCGAAGTCCAGATCGTCCAACTGCATCCTAGATATCCATTGTATCCCGTGCTTCCCTTCAGACGTTGACATCTTCATGATCCAGTCGATCACCAGGAGAAAGAGAAAGGGTGAGAGTAAGAAACCTTGCCTAACACCGGTCTTCACTTCGAACGACTTTGTCAATTGTCCTCCATGCACGATTTTGCAGTGTAATCCATCATATGAACTCTGTATGATATTGACTATCTTCTGAGGCACGCCGTAGTGTCAAAGAAGTTTCCATAGTGTTGTCCTGTCCACGCTATCAAATGCCTTTTCGTAGTCAATGAAGTTGATGTAGAGTGATGAATTCCATTCAATTGATTGTTCCACAATGATCCATAGAGTTGCGATTTAGTCTGTACACGATCTATTCTTACGGAATAGATTCTTTACCATTTTATTATTATTATTATTATCCGTTTTAGTCATAAAATATTCTACTTTCTTTTTTTTTTAGATGTACTACAACATTTTAAAATTGTTAGAATCTTTTATTTAAGTTATTGAGTTTCCTAACTAGAGTTTTGTTTTATGGATTAAACTATCGAATTGTAGATTAAAATGAGAGAGAATGGTAGATCCTTTTAGTGCGATCGCAGATTTAATGCTGAGTGTGAATAGGGTGGACAGTCAACGCAACTTCAGCGAAAACATACTGTATGTTCTCTAATAAACAGAGATATGGTATTTCCAATTGGGTTTATATGACTCAACAAAAGATAATCAAACTAGTAAGCATCACATTATATATAATGTTGTACAAGACTTAACAACCAGTAAGAAGTAGTATCAATTACGTGACCTTATCTCATCAGTATGTTAAAAGTAACCGTAATAATTGTTGTTATGACAACATCTAACAGTCATAATATCACTGAATCTGATAAACTGTAATATTTAGGTTATTAGAAAATGTTTTATCATAACGTGCCACTTTATATGATTATCTCGCATTTCTTTATTCTACTTATTTAAATTCTTATATGTTTGGTCCAGATAGTGCTAATGATGTACGATTCGCAATTTCACAAATAAAGCTCAACCAATAGAATGATTGTATTTAAGGTTATTTCAAGACAATGTTTCACTATTTGTATCGACAAATAAAAATTTCTTTCCACTTATAACTCCTTTATATAAATGATAATGTATTCTGAGATCATCCATACTATTGTGTTTTTCTCATGTTTTAAGTCATTGGTCTATCAGTTCATTGTATTTAAGTCAAATACACAACACAACTGTCACTAAGGTGTAATGCAATCAATAACTGATGATCCATTGGACACTTTTCTTTATTAATCACAGTAACCCTTTCATACTATCTTGAGATCTATCTTAAGTATCTCCCAGTAACTCCTCCATTGATCAAACCTTGAAATATTCATTTTTTTGACAGATATTTTAAACGATTGATCATATTATATGTGACTCATAATATGACTGTCTATGTTATCCAGTGATATTCATAATATTATTTTTGTTTTACATACTTTTATTATTGTATTTAATTAGATGATCACAAAATAACCACAGTGTTCATTATTTATTTCAGTCTTAAGTAATATATAGTACTTGTGTTTAATCCACTTGAAACATTAAAATTAATTTATGATTATTTATTTTGTTTTCAGGTCATGATCAATCTATTAATCAGAAAAAAGAGGTATGTATTACAACATCATTATTCTAATGCAAAAACTCAATCATTTTCTAATTTTATAAATAGTTTAATATTTTCTGAAATATTTAAATGAAATGATTACAAGGTATTTCCTAAATAAGAACTTTCGTCTAAATTTGAACGAATAGTTTCACAATATTTGGGCACCGAGTTAATGTGAGACATTAAAGAGGAAGAATGTATTTGTAAAACAATGTTCACGTTGATTGAATGACGTATTCAGTAAACAGTAAACCAGAGAACCATGTACCTATTTATATTCGATAATTTTGTTGTTTGATTATATTTTCCTTGAAAAAGCTTGAACCAGATTGCCAGGCGAAACGTTGTATTTACTTCAAATTCTTTCGCTGATATTTAACAAATACATTCTTCCTTTTTAATGTATTTACTATCAATGCTAGTACGACTCCTTGTTATAACTCAACATTGAAACTGTAAATATTATCTCAGCGTTTTTGCGAATTTTTCAAAAAATAAACGAATGATGGTTCAATCATAAAAATTACTTATCTTTCAACTATTAAGGTAATAAATTCAAAATTTATCAACTTGGATTTATACAGCCTACACATATATCTCCAGTCTTTACCCAAAACGTTTTTATTTATTTATTTTAACACTTAGATATTGGTACAAGGAGGCACCAAATATATATGCACCACACAAGTCACATTCGATATGTGTGAGGGCTGTGATACTGTCCGGGTGCCCAGACCGGAACAGGTGGTTTTCTTAGAGGGCCACACCCCGAGCCTTCGACCTGAAGGTCTGATCCACAAGGCAGTGGAGCATCGTAAGGAGATGCAGTCCCGTGGGAGCCGGTGACCAACAATTGGTTCATACGCTATTTGTTCCCGCAGGATACTGGAGCCCATGTGCACCAGTGGTTTGGAATCCGGTTAAAGCGCCGGACATTCGCTTTTCGTCCTCTCATTTTTGTAAACAACACCCCCGCCACAAGAAGGCAGTGAGTAGGACTTCCCTGGCAAAGGCTATATACGCGTGGCCATGTGAAAGCATTTCGAGAGGGAGAGCGGACTCTCCCCACTCTCGGCCATACCAGGGCATTTGGGGCATCTTTATGTTTGATTGGAATATTAAACCAGTATTTTGTCGCATACAATTTTTTAGTACATTATTCTCTATAGTAAAATTGATTATTGTTTTTTTACAAAGTTATATGTTACTTCTTCTTTTCTTATCTTAATGATTATTGCATAACTGATTGAATGGATGAATAAATAAGTCCTTAAACCAATAACCTGATACGCTTACAATTTTTATTTTGATACTTTTAGCTTTGATTGTAAAGGGATTAGTTTGTCTACTAATAGAATCATAAACATCCTAATACAACTAAGATCTTCAAAATATTCATTATATGTAAAACAAAAATTTATATAAAATGTGACCAAGTGATAATTGATCATAAGAATAAATCTTTTGGCCTATTATACTTGAGTGAAAATAATAATTAGCCTGAGAATCAAATGGTTATTCAATAGACAGATAATTATCCGTTAAAAGATTACTAAAATAAGATTATTATTTAATTAGGTACGAAAGAAAAGAATCAGGAAATTCTTTAAAGCAAGTTTAAAATCGCTAAACTGAACAACGATGAATTTCTAGAATTTGCAATGACGAGCTACAAAACTAAATCATCACGTTCACATTAATCCGAGTTCAGTAATGGTCAGAATGTACTGCAAATTATTCAATTAAATTTTTTATATGGATGCTTCAAACTATCAACGTTATGGATTTAATTCTGAGTAGGGTAATCAATTCAAAATATTCCGACGAAACGTTCCTCAACTATCTACTTATTTTTGAATATACTGATGAAAATTAACAGGAAATTAACTAAAACTTAACAAGCACGAAACCAAAGCGAGTACAAATACATCTTATCCACACTTAAGCAATAAATAGTTACAAGAAAATATAACTAAATGGCCAATTTATTTCTCTTCTATCCTATTCATCCTTGTCTTTTTTTAATTATTTATTTACAATTTTTAATACTCCATAATATCACACAGTCAACAGGAACCGTTAGTAGACCTCCAAATTAGATTTTATTCATAGTTTGTGCCACTGAAAAAGGTCTATCAAAAATCTTGGAAAAATTCTTACTCATTGTTTGATTTAAACCATTGACACACTATCACATCTAGTGATGTTACCGCCAGACTATTCAGGATGCGGGATTAATATTGTCACACTGATTGATTACTTTATTCTTCTAATTGTTTAGTAATTTTCAAGGGTACAAAGTAAATTTAATAGATTTCCATAACATTAACGCTATAAATGATAATTCACTTAGGGGTTTATATAACTTAGAAAATTAAAACAAACAGGAAATGCATTTATTCACATATTATTCTCGACCAATCTATTATTGAATTTTAATCATTTATTTAATGACCGATTAAATTTTTCTTCACATGCATGACTGTACATCATTACAATAGTTGTCAAGTATAATAGTATAACAATAAGACAAAAAATTGAACAGATTAATATTTAGTTAGGTGATTTGTGAACAGATTGTACATTCTGATGATAAGTTTTCCTATAAATTGACATTAGCCGAATTCGGTATTAAACATTAGAGAGCAATAAAGTTCCTTTCTTTTGTTCACATACATTCAGGCTATTTGCATTGAGTCTTCTATGAATTATTTCCTCTAATAATGTGTTTCTCTAAAGTATTGATTTCGTGATTTAACAAGAAAATAGTTAACTTATTATTATAATCATTATTTCAACTTCTAGTCAACTTACTGACTTATGCCTGTTACCCCTCTTTTTCATGTATGCTTCCTATTCTCGAGAAAATATATTATTTGGCCTTTCTCTTTTCCCTTCTGTATTTCAAGATAGCGCTTACCTCGTGATGCAGTCTGATAATTTCTTAAATGTATGTTCTATCCACTTTCATAATCTTTTACTAAATTCCTCTTCAATAGGAAGCTCGTTTGTTTTCTACCACAGTAGGTTGTTGCTGATGCTTCCCGGCCAACGGACACTAAATATCTTGCATAGACAAGTGTTTAAAACTTTTAGTCGAATCTATAAGTAAATAAAACTATGAATGTCAAAAAAATTAGCATTATAAAGTGACATCAGAAGGAAAACCACTAAAAATATAAATCAATGAAAAACGACTTTTTCCCAGTCAAAAAAACATTTAAGTACTGCCACTCATTTTTGTTTGTAAAGTAAACAAGTCAATACATTGATAAGCACTAACAACAATATATTCAATGTTAACATCGATAAAACTTGTTATCTACTTTTTCTGCATTCATGATTGTTATTATTTCTCATCATCTTCATTTTTAATCTATTGTATACAGTTTAAGTGAATTATTTTAAAATATCCTCTATTTGATATAAGATAATTTGAAAAATTCATTTCATTTCTGAATAATCATTAGCATTCTTATTCATATTCGGCACCATTACTGAGGTAATTTTAAACCATTTATAGAAAACACAATTAAAGTACCATATTTAAAGAAGAATACCTGAGGGTTGTTTTTAAATATTTTACGATGAAATGTAGTATTTTAAAACGAAATTGATTTTTTGAACCATGATTAGGTAGCTTGATGATTATAAATTACTCTAGATAAATGATTCTACATGTTCTTTACACAAAACTAATATTTTAACATAATATATCTGTCAATGACTAAGATCATTTGTTTTACTAATTACAAAAAGACAATTTTAATTATCTGAAGTTATTGAGGAGCCTAGATTAATTTGTATATCATATGATACAATATTGTATAATCTTCTATTTACCTTGAATAAATATTATCTAACTAACTTGATTCAATTTTTCTCAGTTAATGATGTAAATTATGATTTGAATATTATGCTTTAATCCATTTCTATTTAGTAAAAAAGATGAATAGAGCGAAAAACTTTTTTTCATTTTAATGAGCTTTTGTTTATCACTTTATATTAATATAAATAAATACAATAATAATTTTACATAATTTGGCAACCATTGATCCCTTTATTTCTAACTATCAATTATATTGACATTTTATCAGAATACTTTGTTATTTCTTTTGTCAGATATACAGCTTGACAACCGTTGATCTATATATTTTCAATTTTTTAAAAAATATATATATAATTACTTTAATTATTATGGTTAGCTTATGCTCGCTTCTAATCGTTTAAACAATCATTCGGCATTATTTCCTTAATCACTTGTGAAGTTACAGCATTATTACGTAATACTACTGTTTGATTAGTATTAATTCGTTTTATTGTTAGAAATTATATATATATATTAGTATAGACCAATGGTGAAAAACTGATTGAAAACATATATATTCATCTTCTTACTAAACGTTTGAATGAGAGCTTTTGCTACACTGAAGATTGACTTTATTTACTTTGAACTGTTGTAACGCGTGAAGACTGCAGGTTATTGATAAGCGCAGCGTTTTATTGATCGGTTACAGTGACACGTAAACACGTACGAACGACCTAGTGTCCTGATTGGCTCTGCTTCCCTGTCTATCCCAGCCAGTTGAGTCCAGAACGAAAGCCACAGCCTCTGAGATATGAATCATTGTATTTCAGACATACTCTATTTATATACTAACCAAACATACCACATCGTACCATAAAAATAGGAAATAACATTTTGTACAATATTTAACAAGTGAACAGATATCGACCAATAGGAAATGTCCATTTAGCGTCCAAGGACAACATTAGACTTAACATGATAACTATTGGTATATTTTTCTGCACATCCTAACATGATTAAAGAAAAAAAAATCTAGTTCTTATTCATGGCATAATTTGAATGAATATTGTTTTTGGCACTCAATACATTTTTAATCATTAATTAAATGTATTAATTGTATTTTTATTTGTTACCTTTATTCTCTGCTATTTATTACTTAATATTGATCATAAGCAAACTATTAAAAAAAATATATCCCATCTCATTAAAATAAACAAAAATCTTAATTGGACAAGTAATTGTTGTTTATTTAACAGGAAACTCGTTCGTTAACAATGCCGAATATGTATAATTTTCACTTTTGTTTGTAAAATTATATACTTTGTATCTAATTGCAAAAAGGAATATTCTGTTTTTGGAAAAATAAAGCGATTGTTTATCGAAATTTATACTTTTTATAAGTGGGTAATTTATAGACTGAATGGATTTAGTCATTATCAAGTAAATAATATTCAATGTCATGCTGTTTCACTTTCATTGCTTTGGGCTTCAATAGGTTAACATATAAAGAAGTATACTGTATGAACAGACGACATAATGTAATAAAGTATGGATTTCCACTTTCACAGATTTTCAAATTATTTGTGTGTTTTCATGTCCAAGAGTAATTTTCAGATTCAGTAAATCATGGCAGTTTAAGGAGCAATATCATAAGGTAATTAGATTTTTAAACACCGAAGACGAAATTAGATATACGAAGGCAAGGAATGTGACATTAACTGTTATAGTTAGACAAAAACATATATTGCGACACTAGTAGAATCACTGATTCTCATATTGTGAAAACATTGTTTATCATTTCAAAGGTTTAAAAACATATCAATTTTAACCTAAGATTCGATATTTGTATTCTTTAGAAATTTATCAGACTTTTTCAAGAGGACAGTAATTGGTTGAAAATAAATTACTGATACGCACTTTATGATCGATTTCGACTGCAATTTCCCGATAATCAGTCGCTGAATATACTAAATAATTCACAACCAAAAACGTCGTAGACTGAGAGAAAAAACATAGATACTACTATATGCGGTACAAATAATCTATCTTTAGATCTTAGAATTAATACGAGAGGAACTTTCCATTCAACTTTATTTATTCACGTTGTGTTATCTAATATGTCTTGCTAGTTGACTTATTCTTCCCATGACTTAGATGAATACATATCGACTTTTGATCATTTAAATTACCCTTCATCTCATTTCCTGAGAACATAATATACAAATATACGACCAACCGAAGAAGTATGATTTTTGTTTTACCTTTATATCAATCTTGTAATTTTTTCCTGTTAACAAAATTATTTCACTACTCTTTTCAAACTGCAAAACGTCCTGTTGAATCACATACCTGTTTTCGTCTCTTAATTTTATCTTCCTCCATTCAACCAACTTGCTTTAGAAAAAAGTATTTTCTATAATATAATCTGATATCTTCATTAGTTAGTTGATTGAGAGGATAATTTTCAACTTCATCTTAATTCATACCCATTGAATAATACTATTCAAAATAAATATTCACTTAGATTTTCTATTTTCCGAATAATTAATATTCATATCAATGTTGACAATTGATTTCTGATTGGCGGAGTATTTTATTGGTTAATTACAAACTTTGTACAACCTACTTTGTGATTGGTTCAAAATTTCAGGTTGCATATTTTACCATAAAAACCTTTTTCTTAGTAAATATTATACGACAGGTAAATACACAAATAAAAAATTCAAATATTCAAAGGATTTACTTAAAAAAAGACATCTTATTAATTGTTGTTCACATTTCCTTCCTCAATATGGCTGGTTCAATAGACATTAAACCTGTGAATGTATCTGGTCGAACAATATCATTGTATCGTAATGGATTCAGTAGCCCATCACAACTTTGTAGTCCTGCACCAGTTCGTTCAGGTAAAACTCCAATCTCACCTGATCCAATATCAGAAACATGTTCGCCCGTAAGTCCTGAGTGTAGTGATGAAGAGAATCGTCGGTTTGTTATAGGAGATATAAATATTTTACGACGACGTCACAGTAAACGTAGACCTCACTTAAATGTTCAATCTACTAACTGTAATACTACCATTACTACTACTTCTGAGTTATTGAATAACTCATCGAGTTGTGAACGTGCAGAAAATTCACAAAGGTCAATCAGGCATTCAAATTCATTAAATGTGGAATTTGTATATCGTAAAGAATGTGATCTTTCTAATGGACGTTTACCTCGATTTATTCGAATTGAACAAGATAAAGAAGATGACGAATTTCTATCACGTATGCATGCCAGACCATTAAGCATTGCTGTGGATTCTATTTCACAACTTGATCTATATACAGCGAAACTTACAGATGACTATTCCACAAATACACTTCGACCATCCTCAACGTTTTACACTGATGATAGTGAATATGACCACGAAAAACAGACTACTTCTTTAGGTGAGAGCAAAATATCGTATTCTAATAACATCAGTAATAATGATTCTCCTAATTTACATACTGAAACAAACGAGATCATATTTGTCAAATCAAATCGAATATCATCTTCAGAGGTGAGCTAAAAGAAACTCAAAAACTTGATACTAGTAATAAACCAAACATTAAATTTCACTATAAATGCTAATATCATCATTCTATGTTTAACTACAAAACGAGCATTTCAAAATTTCTGCTTATGTAATTTTTAACCAATTTCTTATAACCTATCATCCTTGTTACCTACTAATACATGGCCTATGTTAATGATTATTTTCTACTTTCTTTGTTAAAACTAATGAATAACAAAACCGTTCAGTTGAATTCCGTTCTCCTACTTAATTGGCAAAAAAATATATCTTTGTTTACCACATTCATCTGAGTTTGAACACTTATGTGTGTCCGTTTACATGTATATATGTTTATTTTGCCATTTGTAAGTGTTGCATATATTCAACTTACATTATCTGGTAATCTTCACTTTTACTCTTAAAATTAGCTTCATATTGTCATTATTTTCTTTATAGTTAAACTCAGCAAATTTCATGCTAATGTACTTGTAAACACCATCGTATAGTGCTATCACTCGTGTCCGTGTGCGTGTGTACTTTAAGAGCTACTGTGAGCTAACTAACGAGGAGATTGAAGTTTTGGAATTTATATGTTTCATTATGTTAGCTGTATATGACATCGGCAATGATATTATTTTTAACAAACAGCTGTATCGTGTGCATCAGTTCGTAAGAAGAAGCTGATATTTTATGACCGTGTTTTTTTGTCTTATCAATGTTCATTTGTACTGTCACGATGATTAACATCATTGATGTAATATTTTCAGGTCATGTATTTTTTTCTCCAAAATATTATGTCTTGTGTTTTCTTTGGGTTTTCGTTCTAATCTTCATTCCTTTGTGTAAACATGCTTTATCCAATACATGCCATTCAGCACGATTATATAATGGTAGTATATCACTGGTGGGCTTAAAAATATGTCTGTTCTTTGTCGAGCTCTAAATTTATTGATTTTTTGTCAATATATCATTATCGATTTTGAATCTAAGGTTATCATGGCTAGTTACTTGATTAAATTAGAACTTAGAAAGATATCATTTAATATCGTTGGTATTAATAACTTTCTACTGTTTTTTTCATTGAGTTAGAAAAATATCTAATATTTCAGTCACTCAAGTTTAATGCTGGAATTGTGTTTATGATAGGGAAAATATGTTTATAACAATGTGTAATATGATTCGTAATACCGCATAATGTAGGATTAAAATTGGGATAAGCGTTTCTCTCTAGAAATGACTTCTGATCACTGATCTATTCAATGACAATTTCACGTTTAAAGATAAACACGGACTTATCACTATACAAAAAGTATAACTATGATTCTAAATTGTTTTTGTTGATTTTCGTGTGATCTATTCAATATTCTTCACAAAGTAATAACTATAAGGTTCCTTGGTCGATTAGATCAGTTAATGTGAAGTAACAATATAATAACTAATTATGGTAAGAAAATCCACATCAAACAAACTTATGTAAATTAATAAAATAGGTAAACAGGCAACCTAAGATTGGAACCAATAAATACTTACCTGATGATCGTGTGTACTATAAACTGACATCAATTAATGAACCTTAAAAATATCTGGGAAAAGCTAATCAACTAATTTGTTTTAGCTTAAAACACTTCAGATGTGTGCAAACTCAATTTTATACATGATTTCCTTAACTGCCTTCAAGTGTGATAAGAACTGCAATGGTTTTAAACTGTGGAGTCTGGATCTAGTGGTGCATTTATATAATACTTCACTCAGTGCCGTTTCTCAGTTTTGAGTTTATGTACAACATAGTTGTGTACACAGATTACTTGTTCTAACAAAAATCTAGTCAATTCACTTGAAAACTAGTCACTAGTCAATAAATGTTCATTATTAAGTTTGGTAATCTAATTAAGACTTCCTATAAGTCGATAGTAGTTCCTATCACGAAACAACCATTAAATGCAAAGATATTACCTCCCATATTATATCAAAAGGGGAATTGCAGAATATCATAGTTCAGCTGAAGTCAGAAAATGTGTACTACCTGATTTCAACTACATAGTCTAAATATGTAATGTTGATTATGAACAATAAGTACAAATTCATATAAGATCACAAATGTCAACTTCTGGGTTATCCTAATTAAAGACAAATTAAGAATTTACAGATTGAAGACCATTATTTATAATTAACACGGATACTCTGTTAAACCATCGAACTTAAAGACACTAAGTATGTGAAACATTTTTAAATAATAATTATTATTATTTAAATATTCATATATTTTTGAAGATTTTCATCGAGCATAACCGGGTAGAATAAATATCAGTTATTCTTATATTTCCTGATAAATATTATTTTATAAGAAACTATTGTATTCAGTTAACATTGACATTGTGTAAAATAATGCAACATCCCATTAAACTTGAATAGATTTCTTAAAAGTGAAAAATCTATCGTTTTTTTCTCATAACTGAAACTAATTCATTATCTGACCTTATCTCTACCAATAAATAATCAATTCTCATGATAAACCCTTTGGCTTTTGTCAAACTTAAAAGAAAGAGAAACTAACTGAACATGACAAGTTCCTGTTTTAATCAAGTAAATCTGAAACGATGTGATTTATTGATTACCCGTGAATGTTTATACCAAGCAAATGAAGAAACATTTTCAGCATAATCAGCTGACTCACAATATATATATATACTTTAACTGACATTTCTAACCAAAGATAATAGTTGAAGAACAGTTAAAAAGCAGGAAGTTATATACCCAATAACTGACTGTGAATGAAATTGTTACATAGTCTAAACAAATATACAGTAGATAGGTATCAAAATAGATGACAACATTATAAAATAATATTACCATGTACAGTTTATGGAGATTGTAGAATTTTTTTGGTTTACATCATAGATTTATTTTAATTAAACAACTAATATAAACTAGAACAGGCTGGACAACTGTAGAAATTCCGAAAAATATGGATACCATCATTTGTCTATTATTTACGTAATTTAGACAAGTACTCATTTCTTTACATCATAGTTTGATTTGTTTACTTTGTTCTATTTTTGTTTAACTATCTGTGATGTTTCCATTTCTTCGAGTTTTTATTTAATGTTGATTATCCTAACATGAAACATTAATCGATTGTATGAGTGCCCAATAGTATTAAACCGTAGAGTTATTTTTCTTGGCTTCCCATCAAATGAATGTGCTATTAACAAAAACTTAAATAACCTATGAATAACTGCTTCGACGGATTTCTATATTCCATCAACTAAATAAAGGATCATCTGATATGACTTGCATGTTGAATATTTCTTTGTCATTAATATAGATTTTTTATAATCACTTCTTCAATTTGCATATCAGTATTAAAATCAGATTTCGCAACCACTTTTTATACTCGTTACGTGTGAACCGATTATTATTATTATTACTATTATTATTATTGTTATTATTATTATTGCACAGATTGAAATCATGAGTCAGTTGAAGCTCGCGCGCGAAGCCAGTAGGTCCTGGGTTCGAGCCCCGAGTAGTGCGGGGTCGTGATGCGCACTGCTGAGGAGTCCCATACTAGGACGAAACGGCCGTCCAGTGCTTCCAGGTTTTCAATGGTGGTCTAGCTTCAACTGACTCATGATTTTAATCTGTGCAAATTTCTAAAAATCTCCACAAAACACATTCTGATTATTATTATTATTATTATTATTATTACTATTATTATTATTATTATTATTAGAGTGTATTATCAATTTAATCTTGAACAATAAACCATTGGAATGATTGATCTCAGTAATTGTGGTAATCTATAAATGAATTCTAACTCCTAAGTCTATTTTCTTTCCATCATGAAAACTAACACATTTAAAATATTTTTAAAATTTATCATTATAATGTGATACAAGTATCCTAATAAAAGATTGTCAAAGACTTTGTAATGGATTCTTTTAGAGATGATTCTTTAAAATTCATGTATCAATTGCCCTGATGACCATTAATAAATATATATATATATATATATATATATATATATATATATATATATATATATATATATATATATATATATATATATATATATGGCAAAGCGAATGGTCCATTGAGTGATTTAAGCGACTAACATTTAAGCTAGAAAAAGGGATATGTGCGTACTCTGCCACATAAAACCAAGAATATATAATCATACAGCCATGATAATAATATAAGGATAAACAAATTGTTTTTGTTCGAATAATACTGTCTGTTAAATAAACTAATTGAAGGGCTTTACAAACTTAAACGTATATTCAGTGGTATAGGAGTAGGTTGGAAGAAAGCTAGGGGCGGCCAGACCAAAACATGGCACAAATCCATGAAGTCACTGACAAGTGGACTGAGTCATGTTGGTAGGTGTAGACTACCTGGTTGGGGACCGCGAGATGATAGCAACCGATGGTTAGAGACCCTGAATGACATGGCTCAAAATCGTTTGCAATGGCGCAGGTGCATCCACTCTTTGTGTTCTCCCAAATTCTAATCTTCTGAATTCTTCATGTCCCTTTTTTCCTTTTTCCAAATTTATTTCACTGAATTATACTCTTTAAATAACATCTCCAAACACTAATCTTCCCGATCACTGCTTACACTCTTGCTACCTCTACCACTATGGGATTTGGATCGACAACTGCATCTCTGTGCTAATGTGGTATGGCAACTCGAACTGATGTACGTACGTACTAAGTTCTACGTTGTTACTGACTGACTGAAACGTAAACAAACTTAATAGTACGATAGGTGTTATAAATATAACAATGATTATCGATGAATGATAGCGAATACAAAATCCAGCCCTACACCGCTAAGCTTGCAATTATTAAAACCGTATAAAAGTGCAAAATTTTCTTGAGTCAGCTAGTTTATCGGTTATATTGCTAGTTTGACTAACAAGACGTATTCTACCTTAAATTTGATAAACACTTTGCTTATTTTCTTGAAAAATAAATCTATTGGACTTGTCATATTTAAACGAAATTCCTTTCTACATAAAATGTCTGTTGTTACAGCCATCAAGTTAATGTCGAAAAAACAAATATATATTATGTGAATAATTATTACTATGAAGTGGTTTACTTATAATATGTGGAATAAATCAATCTACTGTGCACAAATGAAACAAAATAGGAATGAATTGTATGTGATTCAAAGTAGTCGATAACCAGCCCTAGACCTGGGCTTTATGTTAGCTAGTACTTCTCAACAAGGTGTACTTGTGAACTTTTGCGGACTAATTTATTCTGTGGGATTTGAAACCTCTTTAAAGTCTTATCTGTTTATACCGCGACTGATCTGTAAGATTAAGGTATTTACAACCCATTTTATCACTGAGTTATGACTAATTTCAAGACGGGTTTTGACCGGTACTAATTCACAATTAAATGTAAAATTTAATAAAGAGAAAATAACTTTTGATAAATATCGATAGTAAACGGAAATATGTATTGACTGAAATGAATTAATTTTCAATAAACGAACAAATATATCTAACTACATTCTACATCAGATAACATAATCAGAATAAATCATTTTTATTTTTGCATTAATATGATATCCGTTCAATAATAAATTCATTTTTTGTTTATTCATTTGTTTTTCAATAATGGTGAATGAATCAATAGATTATTACATTCTTCCTGTAATACATTTCTGTTAAATCATGAATGAACTCCCATGTTCGATTGATAATTGAAATTTTCTCCATCTTATCGTTACATAACTTCTTTTAGTTAATGATCTTGGAGTAAAAACTAAACTTGGTTTTGAGTGCCCTGGTATGGCCGAGAGTGGGGTTAGTTCACCCTCCCTCTCACACGGTCATGTGTATACAGCCTCTGCCAGGGAAGTCCTACTCACTGCCTTCTTGTAGCGTGGGTGTTGTTTACGAAAATGAGAGGACAAAAAGCGCTT